TAGATTGTACTTGTGGGTGTAGAAATGTCTTCCCCAAATGTTTGTTTGGACAGTCCACATAGTCTGCAAGGTGTCCACCAAGTCTTGTATTTCTCCTGCTTCGAAATTGGACACGACTTTGTTGTAGAACTTTGTTCTTGTTGTATAGCCATTGTAGGTATGCACCCATGTACAGACATTTTTCCCAACGCTATGTGTATTTTCGAGAATAGTTAAGAGTATTTTCCTGCATAGCTGCTGCGAGGTCGCCTTGTTCTCGGAAACCATATTCTTTGCAGAGATATTCGACAAGAGCTTCTCTATCTAGTCTACCAGAAAAGTCCCTAGTGTAGTCTATAGAATACAAACCATAGCCGTGTGCTAGTAGTTGTCTTTCCAAGTCTGGCAAAGCGGCATGCAATTTGTCTATAGGTATTTTGGAAACATCTATCTTTGCCACAAACACGCCATGTGCCTCTTTTTCTGGATATAGTTCTTCCCACTTCTTTTTCGCTTTCTGCTCTGTATCTTGCTCTATTCTTGCAATTGTACTCCGTATGGCACTATTTTTGGTTTCGGTATGTGTAGGAATAGTATGCAAAATTGTTGTATGTAAATGTCCTCTTCTTCTCCAATTGGAGTTTCTCCCATACTTGTTCGTACTGCTGTAGATATTCTCGATACTATATATTGTGCTGAACTATCTTCTCCTGTTGTACATAGCAATTTTCCTTTTTTGTATACACATTCTTTGCGGTGTAGATACCTAAACACATACAAATCGTCCACAAATGTTGGTAGACCTTCTAGTGGTTGTAGATTTGTCCTACCGAGATTTCCTGCAAAATAGTCTACGTTTGCAATATCTGGTACTAGTGTGCTTTGGTATGCATTATCTAGCAATAGGTGTTGCGCAATAGATTTTGCAGTTCGCAGACCTATACTTTGTAATGTTGTCTCCATAGTTTGCTCTGTATGTATTGGGCTACCAAAGTTGCTCTATATACATTGGGCTACCAAAGTTTAATTGTAAATTCTCCGCTACTTTTTTGGGATATTAGTTTTTTGGGAGAAAAGGTGGAAAACCCTGGTAGCCCTGCAGAAAATGGCGACCTAGTAATAGCAAAACAAACGTTCTGCTTATGTCATAAAAATCTTTCGTTAATAGCTTGACTACGGTGGGTCTCTTTTTCACCACGCCTGATTTCAACTTCATGCTTTGTTAACAGTTTAGTTACTGATCCCATAAACTCGCGACTGGGATCTGCTTGAAATAGCTTAGGCCATTTTAGTGGTCCGCGTTTATATATGCGACTCGGTGCATTAGCTATTTCTGTTTAATCTTTTGAGGTTAATGGCTCAGCCTCCTTGTAGGGACTAGCCACATCCACTACAGTTAAAGCGTATTTATACGTTTTGCGTCTTACCTTATCATGGGGAAGAAACAAGAGGTCAGCTTGATGAACTTCATTTGTTGTAAAAATATCTAACTTCTTCCTCGGGATATCACGCAATGCCGGTAAGTATATTTGCCACATCGCTTGTTTCTTTAGCCAATCCTTGGCCACATCTTTAGATACCTTAGCCGCGGTGGCTAATTTTTGTATTGCTCCTATACCTTTCCAATATCCTCGTGGGCTATAGTAAATTTTATCGATTATTAATTAATATTGATGTTTCTTTTAATACGAATCATGACGATCGTTCAACAAACGTTCTGCTTATGTCATAAAAATCTTTCGTTAATAGCTTGACTACGGTGGGTCTCTTTTTCACCACGCCTGATTTCAACTTCATGCTTTGTTAACAGTTTAGTTACTGATCCCATAAACTCGCGACTGGGATCTGCTTGAAATAGCTTAGGCCATTTTAGTGGTCCGCGTTTATATATGCGACTCGGTGCATTAGCTATTTCTGTTTAATCTTTTGAGGTTAATGGCTCAGCCTCCTTGTAGGGACTAGCCACATCCACTACAGTTAAAGCGTATTTATACGTTTTGCGTCTTACCTTATCATGGGGAAGAAACAAGAGGTCAGCTTGATGAACTTCATTTGTTGTAAAAATATCTAACTTCTTCCTCGGGATATCACGCAATGCCGGTAAGTATATTTGCCACATCGCTTGTTTCTTTAGCCAATCCTTGGCCACATCTTTAGATACCTTAGCCGCGGTGGCTAATTTTTGTATTGCTCCTATACCTTTCCAATATCCTCGTGGGCTATAGTAAATTTTATCGATTATTAATTAATATTGATGTTTCTTTTAATACGAATCATGACGATCGTTGAATCACATCATCATTTTTGCATAAAAAATTCCCTCTGTAGTAGTGGTACCCCATTCCCTATACTACTGCAGCGTAAAACTAGAAACAACCAAACATCATTCTGATCTATTAGAAATTGTTTGTAAGTGAATGAAAAACCATTGTCAATTAACAATTGCTGTAATATAAGAGGCTCTCTGAATTTTACCCTATGCTCCAGTTGCAATTAGCATGAAATTTCATTTGAAATCATTTTGTGGTTGTATCACATGATCCCACCTGACCTTCCAATTAAAAATGTTTTACATTAAAAAAAATTAAAATGTCTTAAGGACTAGTTAGTTATGAGTGATCACTAGTCCTTGAGTCTAGTGCAAGAAATATCCAGCTGTCTTGCGGTGATTTGTTACAAAGATATCCATCAATACGTTTGCTATTGCTCAGTTAATAAGTCGTCTATCATTTCTATAGTCATGCAAGTCCATGTGCATCAGTGCATCTGTTAGCTGTGCCAGGATCTGCTGATTATTGCTTGCAGGCTCACCCTGTATATTTTTTTTGATTGTTAATTCTATGGCCGTTTCACAAAAGGAAATTGTGCACATTCCTTAAGAATGTTGCAGAAGGTATACTAGCATATCAGAGTACTAATAATCATAATATTTGTAGAAAGGTTGGAACTTCATTAGTCGTTTATTGATTTAAAAAGTGAGTAAGGAAGATGGCCTACTAATTCAATGGCCAACAGTGTTATGGGAATATCAGTAGGTCATTCTTGTCCCGGATAAGTAGCATGATGTTGTTTATAGGTGATAGAAACTACCTGACAATATACCTTAAGGATGTGATGTATATATGTATAGGAAGAAAGCGTTGAAACCCCTCTTGTGACTGCTGAAGTTTATTTGAAAACTCTGAAGCTTTTATCTGTTTTCAGACCGGTACAAATGTGGTACTTTGTTCCCTGTCCTACTCAGGACACTGATACATGTACATCAGTTCCATGTGAGCAACCCAGTTTAACCTGCCCCTTGTTTGAAGTAAGGGAGGATTGAGCCTAGTGTCAGTTCTCAAACATTCTCCCTGATGGAGCTGGCAAGTTTTCAGTGTTTAGCTCCATTGTTTCTGTGTCCATGGTCAATAGTTCACCTGGCTGTTCAAAGCCAGGCAGTTACTGCATTGTATGCCTAGCTATACATTGATCAGTTGCACTCCAATCTTTGTGTCACTTGCTCATATGCAGTGGTCAATATCAACAGGTTTGTAAGGAGCTTGTGCTTATTGGCATTCAGTATTGAATAATGGATGTTTGTTTGCTTGATGCCCTTCTCCCTTGCCATCCTTACAATCTCTCCTAAATACTCTACATGAACTGCCCAATAGTATATGGCCATACTCAGTTAAGATATGGTCAAAAAACATATTTTACATGTTGTCTTCAACCTTTGTTTTTACAGTGCTTAGTGGTACTAGTCTGTACTAATTTGTTGGTGGTATTTTGACATGAATGCTTGTGTTGATATATTCAACTGTCAAAATTTTAATAATTTTTTAATATGAAGTTTACATGACATACAGTTTTTCCATTGGACGAGATTTCGGCCACATGACCACGAAACTGAAGTTCATAGGTGTATAAACGACACATTTTGACGTTCATACGTTTTTCATGAGACTTTATTCTTGAAATGACGTTAACACTGATGGACTACTTCCACATTCCTTGGAAAACCCATGGGAATTCCCTAGCACAAATAAATACTGAAGCGTTGTACTCATCATTTAGGACATTTAATCTTGAACTTAGCATTTTACCATACATTGGGATAAGTCAGAGAGTTTGACTGCATGCCTGTTCAAGGATATCCTCACTACAACCAATTCTAGAGAACAAAATGAAGAAAAGCACATCAAAAGTGTCATAGTATGGACTTGATGCGTGTCTAGACTACAGTGACAGTCTACAGCAATCTATGTCTTTACCTGAGAATCTATTGGACAAATCTTTACAATCACCCTACAATGATCGGCCAATTGATGAGTGGTCAGTAACACTAGAAATAGCCACAGGTTTATTAACAACTTCAGAAATCTCTCCCGTCACGTCAGTCATGTTGACGTCGTATCTTTGATGTAAATGTATTATGACGCACTGTCGTTGTGACTGATAATACTGAGGTAATTCTTAACAGACCTTTCTTATTTAATGAGAATATTATTTAAACACATTTGATGTAAAGAAACTACAAAAGTTGTTTCTATAGAGCATGTTGAGCATGCATACGCTCATGTCACCTCTTGTTTTGAGGAATTGTTTTATTCCGCGATACAGCTGGTTGTTGTATGGCTGTCAGTTTAAACATGAAGTCACACATACTAAATATAATTTGTCTAGATATAGGTCTACATCCCCTGAGGTAAAATATAGTGTTATAATAAATTATGAGAATTGACTTTCACTTTGTCTGAGTTCATTGGAGTATGAACCTTGGTAGAGTGGGGACCAAACAATTGTATGAACATCGTCGCAAGCTCTGACGTTCATACAGTTTGGCCTTCAATCTATGAAGGTTTATACTCCAATGAATTCACACAAAGTTAAAGTCAAATCTTAAATAAATACACTGATAGGAATATTTCTGATTGAAGATGTTTGAGGTGATGTTTTACCGCTTTGGGTAACAGTAGAATTTTCCAACCTCTCTAATATTAACTGTGGCAGTACATGCATGTAAATATTTTGTTTATCCACAGAATAAGCTAAAAATGGCAGTGGAGGAGAGCCCACGTGCTAGTCGGTCCCGAAACAGAGAGTCCTGTGTGCCTGCTCTCCCACCACTCTCCATCAATACCATGACACAGGTAATATGCTGAACAAATTTTATTAACCCTTACTTTGCTGTGCAGATTCGAGCCTTGGTACCCCCAAATGCTGAATTAATTTGGGGATGTAATCTATTTGTAACTGTTAAAAATGTATTTAGGATGGGGAAATTTTGAACTTATTTTTATACTATTGCTTTAACATTATTATATATATTGGTTAAAAGGAATAGTTATGTCCATAATGCAGTTGAAGTTACAGTATGAGACCTCAAATCACAAATGTTAATCAACATGGAAAAATAGGAATTATGCTAAAACATTATGATTATTTCCTTCAACATGTTCAGTGTGTTAGCTGTAAATAGAAAATGTTGATTTAAGTAATTTTCAGTGTACTTTATGTGGTTAATGTAGTTAATCCTATTACATCAAATGTTATAATTCTTACGAAACTTCTACCTCTATTACATATCTGCCATAAATCCTGTATATTGGTTTCATCACACTAACTAAATTTTTTTAGATTTTCAACAGACGTCCTCTTCACTGTCAATCACACAATTAGTTGTCGCCAAGTATTCTATTAACTACCCAAGCCTTGACGTCACAATGGCGGCGACATCACTTTTTTCCTGTGTGTGTTAGAGTCAATTATAGTAGTTGTGACTAGAGTCAACTATAGTAGTAGTGACAATCTAGCACTTGGTAGTAGGTCACATTAACCTAAGATTATTCTAATAAGATTGCTATAATAACAGTCATATAAATATATATATATTTAAGGAAGAAGTGCTTGAAACAACACGCACATGAGTATAGCTGGTGTTGGGTTTGTGAGGTCTCCCTCCATCCCCAGGTGTAAGTGTCGATTTATGATCACGAGGAGTGCAGAGGGAAGAAGACCTGCACCATGGAGAAGAGATGTGAGCAATGCAGTCACACATCCGAAGAGATCTCCAAGATGTCAGAGCCGCGACTAAGGCCAAGAGGAGAGATTCGGCAAAGAAGAAAGTTGACAAGATAGTTACTGAGAAATCAGTGTCTACCCCAGCGCCTCCCTCTCCAGTGACCCCATCATCTCCTGCACTCACCATGAGTCTCATTCAACGACTACTCAGAGAACAGCAGGAGATGAAGGACATGCTTGAATCTAAGCTGTCGGATATGGACGCTAAGATCGCGACGGTAGCTCCGGCTAAGACTACCAGATCTTCGTCCACAGCCGTGGGCCATGCTACACAAGATCAACAAGCTGAGCCGCACGGCCAGGCCATGGACCACTTTGGGCTCACGGTCGTCAACCCCTGGACCAGTCACCAAGCCACCACTAGATCAGAGAACAATACTGTACAGGAGCCGCACAGTATCCAGGGACAGGCCATCCAACGGCAACCAACCAAACAAGCCAGCCATACCAGGAGATACCCAAGGCTATTTAGAGCCGGAATCAGAGGGTTTTGAGGAGATTGAATACGGTGGGATGTCATGTGCCTACTCCATGTTAACATATTCATCAGACATTTCCTTGGCCCAATTACGCTGGCAAGGTTGTAGGCCAGTTGAAGGATAACATTCACAGTCTCAAGCATGATGAACTGGGTCTTAAGTTCACATCACTGGACAAGTCGTATCGTTTTTCATGGGCATCAACTTGCTCCTACACCGGCAACATCACAGTTCCTACTCAGAACTCAGACACACCACTGGTCTGCCGTGTGTAGAGCTTGAAACCAGTCGACTCAACATACAGGATAGCAGTTTACTGCACAGGAAGAATTACATGTCACGTGTCTGGACTGACTGTAAACATTTTTACCGTAATCAAGTACAGACTGACTTACATTATCGCTTATGCGAACATTACAACCACTCAACCAGAGACACCACGCACCATCGTTCCCTGATATAACAACGAGAACGTTTTTGCGAAGCCCAAGAGATGGAAACGATTTGTACAGTACAACCTTTCAGACCAAGTAATTTTTTATATTCAACCTGTCCTACGCGATACATTGTTGAATTCTTCTCATGACCACTCCTCAATACAGAATGGGTGAGCCTATACGTCTTACAGGGATTTGGCATTGTTTCATTGACAACACATTTTCACATTTTCGCTATGTCCTGACCTGAGCGGAGAATCCACTGAAGTAGACGAGCTGATACCATCAGTTGTCGGATGGAAGCAAGACACCAGGAAACTGAACATCCTTGCCGACAGCTTTCCCGCCAAGGGATAAAAGTGGCAACAGAATGGATCTTACATCCCCATATTTTTGCTTGGATAACCATGTTATGGGACACACCGCACCTAGATCTATTTGTCGCCTACAAGAACCATCAACTCCGTGGCTGTGGCAAGATCGTAGCGACCTTCATCCTCCCTTTAATATGACAGATGTGACAAGTTTGTCCAGTGGAGAAGAAGACTATATCAGTCCCTATGGTAGTGGATTTTCTGCTTCATCTACGTCAAGACAATAAATTCAGACACAGGACGATAGAAGGTTACAGATCAGCCCTTTATTCTGTACTTTTACATGATGGATTATCAATCGGAAACCATCACATTATCAACAGACTGAGATCCTTTCTACTAGAAGATATTAAGACTACTCATATCTTCCCCAAGTGGAATCTATCTGTGGTACTATCGGCACTGTTAATGGAACCTTACAAACCCATGGTGAAGGCTACCCTACTTAAAAAAGCCAGGAAAATATCGTTTCTACTAGCGATGGCTACAGCAGCAAGAGTTTCAGAGAAACATGCCTTAGACTATTCTAGTCTTACCCATATAATGATAAGATCACTCCCAGACTTCGTAGCCAAGAATCAATCTACCACAATGGGACCATTGGGTCATAGACACTATACAATTCCTGTCTTGGGACCAACAGTGGATCACCCACACAGATTCTTATGTCCCATTAGAGCTCAGTGTTTCTGTTCTCCGGTAATTGCCGGCTTTTTATCGATAAAAATATCAACAAGCCGATATATATGAACGCTGTCAGCTACCATGTCCGATAAAACATTGTTTGTTTTAAGATATGATCATGTCAACAGTTCCTTGCCTAACAAATTTGTCATATAAATTGATAGGCTTTATTCATCAAACACAGAAACGCAAGTGACTGTCTCGCATTCCAGGGAAACCCCCATCTATTAATAGCATGACTATCCCGCACCAATTAACGTGCTTCACTCTGATTGGATAATATTGTCTTGATAGATGACGTTGGTAATCACGTGATCTATGCTGCCTCGTGGCACGAGATTAAACATGTCGAAGGCGAAGCAGACGAATCTGTCCACTTTCTTAGGGGGGGAGACGTCTAGTGCTAATCTGAAACGGAAACATGCGGCTGACGCAAGTGAATGTATTGAATTAAACATGCCAACTCCCCCGAAATCTTCGGACAAAATGCCTAGCGAACCAGACTCGAAAAAGAAAAAGAAATCTGTACTGCAAAAGTTTAATGCGGAGTGGTCGAATGAATTCAAGTGGCTACGTTTTGAGGAGGAGGGCGACAAAATCATAATGTTTTGCAGAATCTGCGAGGCAGCAAATAAATCTAACAGTTCATAGAGACAGCGCCTCTCATCATCAGGCCGTTACAACGATGTATAGAAAAAATGCAATGGCAGCGCATATGGAGGTGGCAGCAGACAAATCTGACGAGAAATTAACAGCAATGTTATACACAGTTTTATTCATGTCTCAAAAAAATATTGCTACCTCCAAGTTTTCTAAACTAATCGAACTGCAGCAGCGAAACGGATGTGAACGTTTACAGGGAGAAACGTACACTCATTCGGACTCGATAGACGCAATGGAGAATGCACTAGTTGAGAGTACTAAAGAAAATTTAAAATCTAAACTTGAAAAAGCAAGTTTATTGGACTCATTATTGATGAGACTGTTAATATCACGGTTGAAAAAAAGCTTATATTGTTTGTGAAAATCGTTAACGACGGAAAGGCAGAAACAGTGTTTTTAGGAATTTTTTTAGTTCATAGTGGAACAGCCGAATGTATCATAGAAAAAATTCTAGAAATTTTGCCTCAATGGAACATTCCTTTGGAATAAGTGGTCGGTCTAGGATCGGATGGTGCGTCTGTTATGACCGGGAAACTCTCAGGAGTTGGGAAGAGGTTGCAGGATCATAATTCATATCCTGTGCACGTCCATTGCATAGCCCATCGTGTCGCACTTGCTTCAGCCGATGCAGCGAAGATTTCGAAGGTGTAGCGGAATATAGAACGACATTGAATGATATCTACAAACTGTTTGAATATTCAGCGACGCGATACAACAGATTGCGAGAACTTTCAGATGTCCTTGAAAATTCGGATTTTTTAAGTTTAAAACAACCGTGCAGTGTTTGTTGGCTTTCCGTGGGACGGGCGGTCAAAGCAGTGAAATCTAACTGGCCAGCTCTTGTTCTCGAAATTGAAGAGGAATCTGCCGAGCGAAACAACGCTGTTGCCACGAATATTCAGAAGAAAATTCGCACGTACTCCTTTATCCGACTTATTCACTTGATGACTTACGTGCTCCATGTGATGGACAAAATTGTTACTCTTTTTCAGAGAGCGAATATCAACTTGGGCATGATTATGCCAATTGTGAATTCTACGATTGACTCCCTTACCAGTCTAGAAAACACCGCAGATGAAAATGAACAGCATTTCTTGGATAATCTGAACAACGGGGAATTTTTGTGGAATTCAGGTCACATAATGGGACCAGCGATCTATCGGTGCGTTTGTGAAAACCCGTTGTGGGTTTATCAAGGAACTCTGTAACTCTCTGAGAAAAAGATTTCCGGATGACTCGCTTGATATTGTTACTTGTCTGGACAAAGTGATCAACCCAAGTCGATTTCCCCAAACGCAAGAGGAACTGACAGCTCAAGGAAGGGAATCCCTCGAGAAATTACTGGACAAATTCTGCCTCCTGATTGGTCCAGCTGAAAATGACGTCATCAATTGCATCCAGGCGCAGCAGGACTTCACACCTTTCAAGATGGCGGTCAACGAAATAGGAACCGACTCGTTCGAACAAAGTTGCAAGACAGTGATTTCTAAACCTTCAGATATTTATCCCGACTTTTCCACTCTGTGCTCGATAGTACTATCCTAAAACAGGATACACTCTGCCAGTCGCAATCGTCTTTCCAGACAACGGATAAACAACCTGATGCTGTTGAATCTACACGCAGACGTCAACAATACTGTCAAACAAGCTACGAAGATCTTTCGTAGAAAGCAACGCAAACTTTAATAAACAAGTCAGTATGTTTACTGTTGTATTTTATTAAGGACTGACAAAAATCTCAAATGACCAGTATTTTGGTACATTGCTGGCTCACCTGTCCGGCAGATAAAAATATGACCGGAAACACTGGAGCTCTCAAGTTCTATCTCGGCTACAGACCAAAATAGACGCCATTGGAGGGGACTCATCCTATCCTGTAAGACCAATTCGAACAAGGATATCACCAAGGCCACTTTAGCAGGATGGATGAAAGCCACAGTTGCACAAATTTATACACAGACTGAGAATTCCACGCCACGTCTGCTTATTAGGTATAGGATGGATTAGAAGCACCTTAAATGTCAACAATCAATTTTACCGGAAGTGTCGACATTACCGGAAATAGCCGAACAAAGCCCTTCTAACCAGGAAATGACATCTTTGGGGTAGAAATAGACCTAGAGATATGTCATTACCAAAAGGGGAAGTGACGTCATAACCGGAAGTGACGTAATCGCCGGTATTAAAAGTCACAAATCCAGGTTTATTATGATCAAGATCAGAAAAAATATAATGGTAAATCTAGTGAACATGTCACATATTTGACTGATTCTTGACACAGTGTTCTGATTTTCAAGTCCTCAAGGGGAATTTCAGAGGAAATTATCTCAAGTAGGATTAGAATCAGTACATAATTGCTGTCAATTACACAGGGAGTTACTGGAGGCAGATCCCACCAGGTCCCTCTGGTATATTCTGGCAGATATGTAATAGAGGTAGAATTTTCGTACAGGCAATAAATAAACCGAAATTACTAAGGGATAATGATCCTGTTTCTGAGAAAGTTCGAAAATATAGATTTGTAGTGATAACATTTTCAGCAAAAGGACAAATGTAATTTGATCCTGCTCTAGCATATGCCATATTAGGCTGTGTCTGTCTGTGTAATGTGCCTCCTCCTGCCAAGTGCCTCAAGTGTCATCTTGTCTGACTGTGCAGGGTCAGCTGCGAGAGTTTGTCCCTGCCCTGATGAAGGTAGTCAGTGGGAGTGGAGAATGTACCCGTGGACCAGGCCTCATTCAGAGACCTCACTGGTGGCCACCAGATGTACCCCTCTGGTCAAATGCCACAGACAGAAACAAAGAGGTGAGCAGCATCAAAGTTAACTCACATTACTAGGATCATCAGCTACGACTCCATTGCTTGAATTTATGAATTAGTGATCTTAAGAATCAATACACTTCCACTCTTCTGGTTATTAACTGAGTTTGCACTGAAAGTTGAAACCATTTTGTGATCATCATATGCCATGATAAAGGTTATCTATTGATCTGCCTGGTCATTTGAACCAATTTTACTTTTGGGTTTTGTGTACACAATGCATTCTTCTTCATGTCCACTATACTTCTAGATCCAGACAAGTTGAGAGTTTTACTGTACGCTTGCCCTTCAAATGTTCAACATGTTCATTTCAATGATAGTAAAGAAACCTAACGACAGAGATTGATATATTTTGTTTGTTTCCATCTTTATTTAGTAATGTCAGTACACATATCATTGGGTATATTCAAACAGCCATATACTTGAACGGCCATTTTATTTGTAATTACTCGCGTAATGACGAGGGATGTAACAAGATCAAGGGAGCCGACTTGTCAGGAAGCACCTCCGCTGATCAAAGTGCTCCGAGTAAAACATCCAGGTGTAAGTATTGGATTAAAGTTATTGTAAGGCTAAATAAAAAAATAATAGTCTTGGTTCTCAGGCACCGCCCGCATCCTCATAAAGTCTACTGCACGTTTTGTTTTTATTTCCATTTTCAAAAACAATAAAAACATCCTGATTCTAAAAAACAATGTGATCCAATATACAGTTACTCTCCTTTACATGCGCACTGCTTTACTGTGCATCTCGTGTTATGGTCATGGCGGCAATAGGAGGCTTTTAAGCTTGTTTATGTAGGGAGGCCCTTTCCTAGGTTAATAGTACACAACTGTTTGTTTGGTTACATACTAGTTTGAACAAGCAAAGCAAAAAAAAAAAAACAACACAATGTTTACAAAAGTCATTGCCTGAGAACCACTTCTTTTTCTTTTTTTAAGCCTAAACGTGTGTTATTGTAATGCTGAACTGTGTTAAATTAGGGGTAGCAGTGTCTGTACCTGTGTGTGTTGGTCTGCTTTGTTGACATCAAGTTGTACCGACATCATAATACATAAGGGGGTTAACTCTGTCCTATATTATAAACTATGGAAATGTTTTTGGCCATTTATTATGTGCATTTCTACATTTCTTATTTGGATTTATTTATTTTCTTTATGCTTATGTTTTTGTTGTTGTTATTTCAGATTTCAACACCCCCGGAGAAATCGAGATATCGTTCATTCGTGGATAGGGCTTTATCTAAGACATATTCAGCCATGATCAAATATGACTTTGGTGTCCACCCTACATGATTGTTGCAGTGGTAGAGTTATCATGCAAGCTAGGTACCGACACTTTCCTCTCTTCAGATGAAGAGGCTAAGTTGGTGACACATATGGGGCATCTTTTGGATATGGCGACACTCATCACAATGTCATCACCATAGCCACAGGTTTTGCCATTCGTGTTGGAAGGAATACAGCGGACACCAAGCTACTATGCCTCCATTTGATCTTTGGATTCATCAAGAGATGGCCCCACTTGAAAGTTCAGAAACCTAGATCATGTAGATTGTTGGAGCTTCATTTGGCAAAGGCAACATCTGAATTAAGAGTATCTCTCTATGGGGATCATCTGGAGTCAAGTGTTGGTGAACATGATATGAATAAAAGTCCTGATTGTATCTACAACCTTGATGCAAAAGGACACACCCTTCCTAGCATTGTTGGATCTAGTCAAGAGGCTGCTGTCGCTCTTACACTACCTAGATCTAGTACCACCACTGTCATTGGATGTGTAATCCATCCAATCTTCAATTAATGGATGGATGTCAGCATGTTACATCAGGAACTGAGAGTGACTGGCTGGTCTAATAGTGAAATATTTAAGAATTATCTATCTGGGCACTTCATCAGATATTGTATCCCCTCTCGATTGTGTATGATGATCACAGGTCACATGTCTTGCTGTCTTAGAGTGAATAGGTAAGGCAACCCGTCCAGGTCGAAAAATTCCCTGTCGCTGACATTTGTTTCATTGGTGCATTGTACACAATGCCACATGTCAACACTGGGGTCCATTTGAAGTACTGCACGACTGAGAACAGTTTGTCGTAACTCCAAAATCTGGTGACCATGCCAAGACGAGAAAGTAATAATCAGCAGTGAATTATTCATTCATGAAACTGTAAATATGTTCTAATTGAACATGTTCTAATTGAACATATTTGTATTTTATTTATTAATTTTCACTTGCAATTAATTTTCAAAGTCTGGTTTTTGACTTGGTCAATTTGTGTGAACACCTGTTAATCGTAAGCTGTCGGGTAATTCCAGGAAAACCCCTCAAATGAGGCATGTGGATTTGTGGACAAGGTGGTCTGGCCGTATTACCATATTGAGAATATGATCAACACTGTTAGAGGGTATGTTATATGTATGTAAACCAGCACTAACTGGGAGTTGCGACCAATCAGGTGTTCGGGATTAGGTGACACATGTGTTGATGAGGGGATGTTGAAAGTTTCCACAATGGCGGATCAATTGATTAATTGATCACTAATAGAGTATCCAAGGATATTTAAACTGAACCTCAAAAGAAACGTCACCCTAAGTAACATTGCATGAAAAGTTGTCATTTAAATATCTGTGTAATTTTTGTCAAAGTTTCAAAAATTTAACGTTACCTTGTCCGGAAAAATGAAATTTGATGATAAAAAGACAAAGCAGGTGTCAATAAAACCGCTCGCCCAAACGCATTACGGCAGCGGCCATGGTAACCCGATGCACGTGAGTTTCATGCAGTTTAAAATGCACATGTGTTCCCCCATTTCATGCCCTATAAAAATCCACCCAGATGGGATAACATTCATTCGTTATTGAATTGCTACCACATGCCAAGATTGACAAGAAATCAGCGACACCAAGCCCTTGGACAATTGCAAGCTGGACAATTCGCCTGGCAAGTAGCGAATACATTTCAAGTCCACGTAAGGACGATAGACAGGCTCCAGCAACGGTACCAGAACACTTACACTACAGATGACCGACCACGTAGTGGAAGACCAAGGGTCACCACCCAACATCAGGATCGTCAGATTGTGCGACAGCATCTTCAAGATCGCTTTGTTATGCTGCAGAAACTGCTCGACAGACCATGGGGACACACCAGCGACACATTAGTGCGGACACCGTGCATCGGCGATTGAGGAGCAGACACCTCCACTGTCACAGGCCACACTGAGAACCCTGGCGACGCCGTGGGGAACGTTATTCAGATGCTTGTGTTGTTGAGAGAGACTCAGGTGGTCTGAGCATCATGGTGTAGGGTGGAATTGATCTTGCACAGAGGGTCGGCCCTGTGGTTTTCCAGAACGTCAGTCCAGAGAGAGGCAAAGGAGTCACAGCAGATGGTACATTGATCAAGTCTTGAGACCACACGCCATAACTCATTTGGTACATCGCCGCAACGACAAGTTGCAGCATGATAACGCCCGTGCCCACACTGCGAGAGCAACAAGAGACTTCCTCCAGCAGAATGGCATCAGAACCATGCAGTGGCATGCCCTCAGTCCCAATTTAAAACCCATTGAGCACCTGTGGGACGAGATTCAAAGACGGCTGAATGACGTCCAGCCAAGGCCAACAACTGCAGCTGAACTGCGTCAGGCGTTCCTCAGAGTGTGGGCTCAAGTGCCTATAACCTTCATCAACCGCCTCATCCATTCCATGTATCAATGGTGCACGGCAGTCATCAATGCACATGGCGGACACAAGAGATACTGACTTGTGATGCCATTTTCTCACAGACTAGTGTTGTGTTTCACTTTAAGAACATTTGACACTTTAATTTCAACCTTGATGATCAGTTTTGCCAAGTTTCATCTTTTTAATATTTCTCAAAGTATGTTTACAGTGTTTGGACAAATTAGGTTTCTCATATATCTATCCATGGTGATGTTTCTTTTGCAGTTCAGTATATATATACGGCGAATAATCATTTCATGATGCTTATTGTATGCTGGGTAAAGCGCCTCACGGGGTAGACAAATGCACATGAAAGGTTATGCATGACTTTGATGAAACCAAGCGCAAATAAGAGGGAGTTCCAATGAACAAATCTGTTTCAGATTTAGTATTAAAATTGTGGTGTAATGCAAGTACATAGTAAGTAAAACTATTTCATATGCAGCCAGTAAATGGTTTTTGGAATAACAAAAATGATGAGCATGTTTTGATTTTTTTTATCCAGCTGCAAACTTTGGCTTTCACGTACCCCTGTTTTTCTAGTGTTACTTCCACTTGGTCATTTCTTCAAGGCATGGGGGGCACGGGTGGCCCAGTCATCTAAGGCGCTGAGATTCGCTGTGCAGAGTTGCGTCCCTTGGGCACGCCTGAAACCTATGATTGTGGGTTCGAATCCTGGTTCGTCCCGATTATGTTTCTAGGTTTGTCAGCACCATACCTGTGCTCGTGGGTTTCACCGAAGTGGTAAACGTCTGAGACCTGCATCACTTCGGCCTTTCCTCCCACATTAAGCTGACACCCCGTGATATGACTGGAATACTGTTAAAAGCGGCGTAAACCAGACTCACTCACTCTTCAAGGCATGTTGAATCTTTTGCACCATTTTTCACTATAGATGTGTGTACCAAAGTGAATAATGTTGTAGTGTCCTAAAATTAATTCTTCATAAGTTGGGTGAGCAGCAGTCTTTTTGTGTATTGTGAAATTTCAAATACAGCCAGTATGTGGTATGAGAAATAACATATGGTTTTTGGCATATTATACTGAACAAAAAGGTAGGGATCATAAATATTATGTTTCAAGTGGCCCTGTTCTTGTGAAGTGTATGGGACCTCAGAGCATATACAGATTTAGGGTACCTGTGTCTAATGGTAGAAGTATCATATTTGACGGTAGCAGAAGTACCGTAAGTCCCCATTGCCCCTTGTATGGTGATTGACCTTCAGTTGCTGGCTATCTGTAGCCTGTTTTTATCATGTATTGTGGAAACGGATGGCCCAGTTGTCTAAGTCGCTGCAATTTGCTGTGCGTGTTGCTTCCATTGGGCACGCCAGAAGCCTATGATTGTGGGTTCTAATCCTGTTTCTAGGTTTGTCAGCACCATACCAGTGCTCATGGGTTTCACCGAAGTGGTAAATATCCGAGACCTGCATCAATTCAGGCTTTCCTCCCACATTAAGCTGATACGCCGTGATATAACTGGAATATTGTTAAAAGCGTCATTAAACCTAACTCACTCACTCACTTTTGTATGGTATTAGTGTGTATAAATTTTCACTCACTCACTCTCAAAATATTTTGAATCAGCTGTCCAATACTTTTTCTCCGGCATAGTTTTCAGTTGATTCTGTACGTTTAATATATGGGCTGTCATCAGCAAAGCTTCTAAAACAGACAGAAATGTTCAAGACTTCTTCCATGTCCTCTGGATGCAAGGCACATTGACCAAGTTCCAGTGCTCTATATTTGCATCGATATTGAGTTTTTGATGGCTGGACATGTCATTTGGTACCAACAGCTTTAGCATTGTTTCGCCGATGGATCTTGCAACAAAATTCCACAAATTACATCATTGGGTATTGTGACGTGATTGTAAACTTTGAGGTGCAAAGCCCCGTTCCACAAGGCGTATTGTGGCACAACAACAGTTGTTAGTCTAAGTTAAAGTATGTGAGTTGCGATAACCTTAGCCCTACGATAATTTTGTGGAACAGACGCCTGAATTCTAAAGGTGGACCGTTGTATGGTATTAAATTCATACGTTTCAACTTTTGACGTGTTTGAAGTATTATTCTGATAAACTCAATTGGATTAAGCCGTGGATCGTGTAGGCGTCGGCCTATTCACACTCGACAGTATAATTATAAAAATGTTAAAAATGGCCAGTAATAAATGAAATACCAATTTTATAAAACTCATGAATAGTTGTGGTATCTGACTCGCTTTCATTCGTCAGATACCAGAACTATTCACTCATTTCATAAAATTGGTAATTAGACGGGAGCTCGTTTAGTATTCCATATACATCATATACATTTTTCAAATTCAGGATTGACAAAAAAGTTACAAACCAAACAAAAAGGATTAACTTGCTGTCATAAGCATAATAAGACAGATCATTACATGATTTCAAATTCCCCCAGAACAGTTTGCGGTAGACAGTTGTTTTACCAACACAGACACAAACTTGCCTACTGGATACACAATTAGAGGTCATGCCTCTCAGTGTGCTGAATATGGATTCAGATCCATTTTAAGGATCTCTCACATTGGCAGATTTAGCAAGTTTAGGTGTTGCTAACACTGGCATGGTTACACATGTAAACCAGTTGAGCACATCCTTTGTTTGGAGTTTTTCTTTAGAAAGGTTTGTCTAGTATTGTTACAAGGAATGAGCAGGAATAGCACTAAATGTCAGAAAGTGTATTTGAGTCATCTTTCATCTCTGTTCTAGGCTGCCTTCACTGAAGCCATGAAGAAGGTTGTGCGAAGCTGCTACCACCATCTTGGTCAGGAATCTCTGTTGTCTACTGGCAAACTTAATGACTGGAAGACTGTCATAGCACATGGACAGTCTCGGAGACAGGCAAGAACATCACATGGTCATATAGTGTTTAGCAGAATAAGTCATTCAGTTGGCAGCTGATAACTGATTTGTAATTTATGTCATTAACAGGGTCAGATTCCAAGTAATGGTAGGGATGCAGCAATCAAGGAAGTCATAGTCCCAATATAAGTATGAACAATTTCAGTGATCATCTGTAGTCAGTAACAGATTGAACTTTAAGTAGGACCATATATTTTATCTTATGTCCATGTTTAATTTATTTTGTTTGTTGAACAAGTATATGTTGAGATTACACAACTAATAACATTTTGTAACTGTATTTGCAGAATTTCAATGCCAACAACAGCTCGGATCTCCTATGTAGGACTCCTGGTAACATTTTTCTCCTTTATATATTTTATGAGTTTTTGTTAGTGATCCCTCAGTAGGACATCATTGTGACCATCACTATTTGTGTTTTACTGTTGTGATGAATACAATTCATATCACGAATTTAAGGAAATGAATATGAATAATTATTCATGAATACTGTAATTTCTTGTGTATTATTTAATGCACACAGCAAATGCAACACTGCCAGCACGTAACACTGAGACTAGACTGTCAACAAAAACATACTGAAGTTCCAAGTTATTCCAGTAACTACACTTTCTCGTTATAAATAGTGTTCATTGTATGTCTTACTTTATGATTTTAATCTGGTTAATTAATTTGTTCAAATCAACATTAATTTTGGTGTAATGGTTTGTGAAGTGATCGGCAGATCTACTCACCATTATTTACAGCAAAAATGAAGATACACCTCTGTTGATGCCTTGAAATGAACCTTAGTTCTCAGAATGGATACACATTTATCACAAATGACATTCTTTGATTTGTTAAAAATTCTTATTTGTAAATTGATAGGCATTCCTAAAACACTGACGGATGGTTTCACTATTGTGTGTCAGTGTAGTGTTTTCGTGGTGGAAATAGTAAAACCCCTGGAAGCTCTTGTCACGATTGCTGTTTGTTTTATCTCAAATTTTGACTTTTCAAACTATCCCATATGTAGGAAATAATAGCTAATATATCAAAATGCTATACTTCATGTACTTAGGGTTATTTCCAATTAACATTTATAGTTAAAGCAGCAACTATAATAACAAGCTAATAGAATATATCATTCCTGGTACAATAAATAGACAGATATGATTTCTGCCAATTGTTATATTTTTTACTTATTCTGCATTACTACATAATGCATTTACTGCTTACCTTACGACAATAAAGGATGGTACCTAGCGATGGTCTTGGGTGAAGGGAAAATTATTCGCTCTCAGATCCCACTTTTTATATGGAACATCGCCGCTGTCATGTGACCTTGCGGGAATATCACCTAAAACATTCCTGCCTGTCGCGTAGCAGCTAGGATGTATCTCAGATGGGCTCCTCAACTTTTTGATTTTTTTTAGGCAGTTCGCTTTGGTTACCACACTAAATTATACCTGTGATCGGTGATGTATTCCTTTCATATTACTGTCACTGTTTTGTGTATTAATATGTGGGTCATTTTCCTGTAAAAAGACATTGTCCTGTAGCTTTGGCGTTACATAGTTTTTCGGGTATCTTTTCATATTATACACTTTCAAACTCATAAATGTCTTGCCGTTCAATACATGTAAATTTTCATTGGCAATCTGTCATATACGTATTAATCACAACTCTCTATTTTCGTAACATATGCACGGTGTACAATTTGTCGTAAAAATCTTCCAAAGATCTCCCATCCACGTTGTTTGGATTGCACTGTTGTTTGGATTGCACTCAGGTTTGCACTCCAAATTTTAAATGATATGTTTGTTTACCACTCTCTCCATCAAATTTTGCTATTTATAGACAGGTCACTCACAGACGTGTTTTGCAGCAGTCCCGTCATGTTTAGAGGAAGATGTCTTAGTCACAGGACGCAACTGACTTACAATCTTTGGTTATTACCACCCAACCTTTATCTTCTGGTGGACCTATGTCCTCCGTGAAAGTGACTGCTGACATTCACTCTTCTCCAGTTTCTACAATATTAGGCTCTACTGTAAGTTTCAAACCTTCAAATTTTCACGCGTCCATGGCTTCCACCGTGATGGTTCAAGCGATGCTGGGGCATGTGTCTTTTGACACTTCTACTTGAGTAGTGCAGACACATACCACGATCCAGCCGACACCTACTGGCGTCTCTTCAACACCCCCAGGCACTCTACATCATCCTCAGGGCTCCAGTGTACCCCATTACATCAGCGACGCATGACCAGCTTAGCGCTGTACCGCCTGCCTACCTGGCAGCGCAGCAGATATACACTCAACTGTAGGCACCATACCAGAACAACAACTGGATGCAAAGTTTTATGCAATCCACTTGGCAACAGTCTATGGCACAATTGTACTCAGGGCCTGCACCTATGTACCACACTCTAGTGTCGACAACAACACTTACGCAGCAGACTACTCATGTGTCAATGTCTACACCAGCTTCTAACATTCACCAGACGCCAGATACTCAACCTGTCATAACACATACATCAGCGCTAATACCAGGTGTCCGGAAATGGTCATATGCGCCGGACATGTCCAATTGGGAATCTCAAATGTCCGGTTTAAAATATTGCTTAAAATTTTTTAATTTTTCTTTCCGGACATTTTAAAAAACAAATAACGCTACCTTCGGCGTCCAAATAATTTATGAGCATCATCGTATCCCTTCAGCGAATTCAGGTGAATAAACAGGTATAACAAACTTGGTCAATAAAAGTATGAAATTTGATATAAAACATCTCTAGACATGATGATTTACCATTTAAAATGTATTTCCTGCTCTCCAAGGCATTGTTTTATATGCAGAGATTAAGATTACCATGTGTATTTTCTCGTAAACTAAGCTGGAAATAGCAATCAGCTGTGCACACGTTTCCTCCCGATCTACCGGTGATTCAGTTAAAACGTACCCAATGATACAACCTCAAAGAATTTTGATGCAATGGTCAGAAGAAATTGTATCTGAAATTATTATTTTGTCAGGAATAATATATTCCAATATCGTGTTATTTTAGCTGCCATATATACTTAAAATTATAAGAACCATAAGCGTAGCACTTGGTACAGACGGTATGCAGGATATTTTTTTATCAGATTTTGACCAGCCACCGTAGGGATTTCCCGTGCAACATGTATTTCATTTGCAAAAACGTTATTTAATAGTCAAACTGCCTGAAATATGACTTTTAGCGAGTCATGGTACGGCATTTATGATGTGTCCATATCCATTCTCTTGCAACTAAATTTCGTTTTAAGGCGTCAATAGCAGTAATCTGACTGTGGTTGCTGTAAATAACAGTGAGTTGTGCGATCTACCGATCACTTAGCATACGATTTCGCCAAAATTATTGTAAACATCATTATAATTATTGAATGAAATATTGAATAAAATTAATCAAATATATTGCAAACTCTAGTCCAGATAAACAATGAAAAATATTTATATTTTTATATATAGATATTATAATGATAGGATTAAATTGCGTACTTCAGTTCGGAATTTGTTGACTGGTATTTCCGGTGTTACGTGATCGCGGTGATCAGCTGATAATGTTTTCTGAAATGGGGGGGGCGGGGGAACATTGTTTCATTGGAAAACTTGAGTTTATTAAAAATGTTAGTAAATTTTGGGAGCTATGCTTTACCGCGCTCTATAACCGAAGCGCGCAATAACTTGTAATGTGTGTGAAAAGTTGTACAAAAATACGCTATTTGAAGGGGCGTGGCCTAAATGCAAATGTCCGAATGGGATTTTAAATTTTTCGGATCCCTGGCTAATACCACAGCTCATATGTGGACATCGTTGCACAAGTCTTTTTAACCAGGCCTCTCATTGAAGCCTTCTGTTAGAAAAAAAGGTTATGCACCATTCACCTACCAGGAGAATGCGTCACCATCATGCCAATTCAGTCAGCGAGGATGGAGATTCTTCAGTTGAATGGAATAATTATTTTAGCTTAGCGCAAATGCCAGAGTGGGTAGCAGACCATCTCTTGTCAGTAGCGCCTCCCCCGTATGGTCACATCCCACATCAATTCCGGTGGATGCTATGTTAAAGATATGGTTAAGGCATTGGACGAAGACTTTTCCAAACTTATGTTTGCTCAGTCATTCAAGCCGCCAAAACTCAGGAAAGATGATCTTGCTATACATGCCTTCACTGTAGCAGATCAGGCACACATTTTGGATGAGGATTTACGGAGGATGACTGGTTCCTCGAAACCAACCAAGTCAAAGACGCCAGATTTGCGTTCATTGAAACGGAAATCAGGCGCATATTAAAACCTTTGTCAGCACTGGTGTTTTCAACACGTGCAATGGATCGAGATTAACAGAGGTCACCCCGAACCGTTTAGACCATTTTCAGACTGTGGTTGACTTGCAGAAACGTCAGATCGACCAACATGAGGAACTAGCTCTGAGCTGCACTAGCGGAGATTACTGTTACACGCAGTCTTGGTTATTTAACACTTTCCAACTGGGATTCAGAGTTTAAGCACAAGCTCCTATGTGAACCTTGGTCAGCATTGGCCGAGTGGTTATTTACATGGATAATCAAGCCAATAACTCTTTTTCTACACCTGAGGAACATTTGGTTCGAGTTGTACATAGATGACTGTTTCCTGTGTCATCAAGACACTCATGCTAGTACGCCACCAGAATATCATCAAACCTTTGAACTACTATCCCAATTGGGATTGATAATCAACAAGGCGAAGTCGGAGCTGACTCTAACTTACCGGCTCCAGTTCATAGGAGGCCCGTTCCAGACAGACCAGGGCCCGCTTGCACAAAGCGATCTTAGCGCTACAACTATTGTAAGCCTATGTTAAAGTATGGGAGTTACGATCATCTTAGCGCTAAGATCACTTTGTGCAAGTGGGCCCTGGACCTCTTATCAGGACCGAGGGACAGATGGATAAAAATCCTATGCCACCTGTCTCCTGCTCTGCATCAATCACGCACACTTCATCAGTGGCAAGTGTTACTAGGGTTACTAACTTCAGCGCAAGATTTATCCTGCCTATAACTGCGCTGAATACCTCCTACACTTGTGTACAAAAAGACATTTGAAGGGTATCACCATTACTACGTATTTCGTAGCGCTCAATTCAGTGTGGGCCGTTCCGGAGAATCGTAAAATGACCAAGGTCCCTGAACTACAGGCCATACTACGCACTTTTAGGCTTGAGGACCAGAAGGCCAAATTCTGTTGCCCTGCTTAGTATTTGCTTGTGGTACTTTGAGGTTTGCAAGGGCACCCATTCGAGCCCCTCAACACATCCTCATTTGATGGCCTCACCATCAAAACAATTTATATCTTGGCTTTAGCCACTGCAGCACGGGTGAGCAAGTTACATGAGTTGACATCACCCGTGTCCACTTTGAGCATGGTACACATGTAGCGGTACATTTTGGGTTGTGCTGGGATTTCATAGCGAAATATCAACTACCAGGCCAACCCAACTGGTCCTTCACCATTCCACCAGTCTCTACGATTGTGAGGGTTGAAGATGAGTGCCCTCTGCGAGCACTTCAAGCTTTCATACGCAGCTCCAAAACTATGTGTGGTTTCGCAGAAACAGTTATTCATTCCCGTATCCCGTAGGTCCATGATCGAGGTTAGTTCAACATTCTATCTCTATGGTTATCCTGCAGGCTCACGAGATCGCTAACCTTGATCCTCCGAGAGCGAACAATCCTCACAAGATCAGAGTGGTAGCCTCAACCATGGCTCTACAGAGCAACTTGTCCATCAGAGCAATCATGGAAGAATGTTTTTGGACGTCTGACAGTTTTCGCCAGCTCGTTATCTTCTCGATGTGGCACTCGAAGAGGTGAAAGGCATTTGTAGTTTTGGCCCTCTCGTAGTAGCACAGCAGGTAACTAAACCCTGACGCAAATAATGAACTCGTACTGTCCGGAACAAGGATTACCTGTCTGTGCAGTACTGACTATGACACGCCCAATGTGAGGACTTTTTAAGCTTTTCAGCTTTGGCTTGGTAACATGCTAATCTTCCGTTTCACAGACTTATCCTCGATTCTCATGTTCTTTCTGTAAATAAGATTGAACCAGTCAGGCGTTTGTGATTTTCACCATTCGGTTTCCTTGACAACTTGTCGTTTATTGAGGGTTTTTTACGTCTGAAGGTATACCCTCCTCCATACGGTCTGATACAGATGCATTAAGGAGTAATGCAGGATAAGTAAAAGATTAAGTAAACTCTAAATATGTTTTACATTTGTATACTTATCCTGCATTACTATGTCAAAGGACCCACCCGTTGCAGACTTGCCTCTGTAGCTTCAGAAACTCTTTTCGATAGCTCGGGTGACGAACAGTTATATGAAATGGTTGTGTCATTACAACCTGTCACATGTCAAAAGGGGTGGTCCTGTAAAAAGTTGGCTCGAGTCAGAAACAGCCTTTTATTTTTTTAAACCCAGGACCATCAAAAGGTGCTGTCTTCTATGTTGTAAGTAAGGTAAGCAGTAAATGCATTAAGGAGTAATTCAGGATAAATATACAGATGTAAAAAATATTTAGATTTTACCAATTCTGTCTTCTATAGCAAGATACAGACGCTGCACAAACTTAGTCATGGATGGTTAATACGAGAGATTTGATGGACTTAAATTCAATTAATCAATAGTTTGTGTTAAGGTGTAAATAGAAAATATTTGGTTCAAGAGGTCATGAATGCCTGATATGATTCGAGAGTCGATCAAGACCGCCTCCATGGTCTAGAGGTAGAGCGTCCGCCCAGAGAGCGGAAGGTCTGGGGTTTGATCCCCAGCCGAGTCATACAAAAAGACATTAAAAGATGGTACTTGTTGTTACCCTGTCTTCTGGCGCTCGACATTAAGGGGCTAAAAAAAGGACTGGTCGGCTCAGAGTCAGTATACTGTGTCTGAGTGGGCTATTCATGTTAAACTGCGGCATGGTATCTCAGTGGGCTAGCACTATAAATCGGCATCAGTCCGGACTAGTACAAGCAGACACACAAACACACACATGTACATGCACATCGCTATATAAGTGCAATAATCTTGGACGCGACGTTAAACCCTATTTCACCTCACCACCGAGAGCTGACATCACTGTCAGTTGTATCTTTAAGGTATAATGGGGGGCCCAGTGGTCTAAGATTTTGCAGTTCGACAAACCGAACTCACTCACTCTAATGTATAATGAAAATGGCAAGAAAGAAATTTATTAATGTTTGAATTGAATTGTATTTGGCTTGAACATACATGTATGTACTGCCTTTTTCAGACCTGATGAAGAGTGGCAAGAAACCCTTTGTGGAAATCTATGTGTGTTTCTTCTGTAACAAGGAATTTTCCAATAAAGAGGAAATGAGAAAACACCAACTGAACTGTACTGAGCGTCCACAGGAGTTACAAGCTCTCAACACCCCGCCTCCTGCCACAAAACGTAACAAGTCTAAAGGGAAGTCTCCCACGTCCAGCCCAACTACGGTCACTCCACCAAGAAGCCCCACCCTAGAGAACTATCTACAGAAGCTTCATCTCATTCCTGTTTCCAAAGCTAAGAAGTTGAGAGCTTCAACCAGAAAAAGTACGGACCTCGACTGTGCCAAGATTGATTTCAGTGAGCCAGAGACACCTGTCTCCCCTACAACTCCCAAGACACCAAAACTGTTAATATCTCAGTTGAGTCGTGATGACTCAGGTCAGTGTAAGCGACGCCTGTCATATCGGATTCAGGAAGAGCACAGTGATTCTGAGAGTGTGGTCAGCGGTAGTAGTGAGGATACAGAGGAGAAGCAAGCTCCTGTCAGGACAAAATCACTCCTCAACATTGAGCTGTCCTCACTCCTAGGACAAAGGATTCAGAAACATCTCAAATCAGAATCTAACATTTGTGTTGTGGCTAATGCAGAGGCTTTCTGTAAGACTCCTGTAAAGAATCATTTCCTAGAGAAATTGAGAAAGAAGGAAAATGTTTACCCTGTCACATACAAACCAAGGAAAAAATTCAAGAAACGACCTCACGTACACATGTACTGCTTTACAAAACGTCAGAGGCAACTGCAGTTTAAAAAGCTTGAGACAGGCTTAGATAGGAAAAGTCGATTGCTAGCCAGATCTTTACCCAAATGCAAAGTTGTTATAGGAAGGTTGTCAAAGCAAGGTTTAAAATATTGGCTTGGTCGTAAAGAGACTCAACAAAAGAAAACTCAATGCATATTCCCTGAAGGACCAACATTCCTCTCTGAAGACATTGACAAAATGCTTGGTTTGAGGAAGAAGAACAAGCCACCCAAGCCAGAAAGGAGCCTGTCCCTTGCCAATGTTGTATCTGAGGACACTAATGCTGAAGTGTTGCAGCAAAAGGTAGCTGTGTACAGAAGTCTGTTGTCAGATCTTTCTTCCAGCAAGGAGCAGACACTTATCAGCATGTCACCCAGTAAACAGTCATCACAAAAAAACCTGAAGGGTAGCAATTTGCAGGCAGCCGAGAAGAAGTACAACAAACTATCTGCTTCTTTGTTTACAGATGGCTTCATGGAAAACCCAAAACTGAAAGAAAGATTCCCACAACTGAATTCTCTACTTGCAGCGCCTTCTCTACCTGGTGAACCTCTAACACCCTCCTCTTCAACCTCATCTAGTCCAGTCTCCTCTCGTCAACTCTTTAAAAAGACTTTCAGTCAGCCTCTCAAAATTGACATACCTTCTCAGGGCTCACTTGGCAAACAAAGGATGATAAGCCCATTCTTTCCGAACTCTAGTCATGGGGATGGTTTAAGGGAACACATTTCTCCAGATGATTCGGTGTCTATCATCACTGTATCATCGGATGAAGATTCGTTCACAAATTCTCTATGTTGCACAGGCTGTAGACAAAGGCAGAAGTGTAAGTGCACACCAGTGAAAATTGATCTCAGTAAGGGTGTAAAACCACCACACAATGTAGAAGTTTCGCCCATTAGAAATTATCTTGGTCAGTTTTTGAAAAAGGATGTGAAGCCTAAAGCAGCACATCTTCCAGGTGCACTCAAGAAGACTAAGGATAGAAAGGCATGCAATGTTTCTCTAGAGGAAAAGAAAGTTAAAGAGACCTCAACAGAACATAAAAACAAACAGAAAACTTCTGTTGGAGGGAAACTGAAAAATAAGAAAACAGATGAAATGAGATCAAAAGAGCCTTCATTACTTGCTGATGTCAAGGAGAGTAGAAAACGTGTAATGGTTTCAGAAAGCAAGAAAAGAACTGATGCTAGTGTGACTATTGGAGGCCAATATGGTCTGCGCAAACAGGCAAGTTCGACTGAAGGGATCATAAAATTTTCTCTCAGATCCAGTCCTGTCAATAAGATAAATCTTATAAAGAAACCTACCAAACTTGGGTTACGAAGTCATAACTCGGCTCCTGCAAACTATGCAGGGAAAGGCCTCAAGAGACATGCATCAGATGCCCCAACGAAAAGTGCTAATATATCAAGTCCTAAGAAATCCAAATTGGATGTGTTGCCACGAACAAGAAGGAACTCTGTTCTTGTCTGACTTCAGTCAAGCAGGAACTGGTGGTTGCTAGAAAGTTGTCAGGAACTACTGCAAACTAGATATTGGCAAAACACAATTCACATGGTTTACCCTATTGATATGCTTATCTTTTAACATGAATATTAACAATGTGAAAACAGTCTTTTAAAAAGAAATCCTCATCACTTTGAGTTTTATGTTGTTTTCCCAAATCAGAGCCCTTTTAGTATTTTCAAGTTACATGTTTTAGAATGACAGTTTTATAAACAAAATGTTCTAAAAACAGTTTTCAACAGATTATTTCTTTTAATATTGGAACAAGAAGAATAGCTAGGGCACTTGAAATCTACTTTAAGTAGGGTATCCTGCAGCCTTCACTTGTATTCAGCTTGATGGTGTCTTGGCAGGCCATCATATCACCACCATGATGTCAGATTAGTGTACAGATGTTTACTTCCCTCACACACACCATATATGTAACACAACTCAAAGGTGCTGTACAGGATTGCCTTGTGGCATTTCACATTACATTTGGTATTAATGTATGTATAGTTACAGAATCTCATCCTGGAAACTTGTGATTGTTTCAAGTATTTCTAGTTACATCTTTATATTGCCAGTCATTGTGAGTTATCTGTTATAAGTTATATCTGGAGTTCCAACATTCATTGTTTCATTTCAAGTTTCATTGTAAGATCTGTTCCTGTTTGTAATCCCAGTCTTAACAAAATGGAAAAATTAACACATGAACACACATTTGATATAAATGGGAGAGGCTGCAGAGCTGAATGGTTAATCATGATTGTGCCAGAATTAGTCATATTCAGTTATTTCACCTTCTGAAAACTAACATATAAAATCCTTAGACATCCAGTCTGTTGAGGTAAATAACAGGCCTGAAGCCCACCGTCACTGGAGGAGAATATCACACAACTGCATCTAAAACGATAATTGACAGCACATCCTGTTCCAACAGCTCTCTAAATGAACTCGAAATTCATTGCACAAATTGTTCACGTAATGAAGGCAGCTATCATTTCCATGGAGAAGTGTCCCATTTACTCCCATTGAGCATGGCTGCTGCAACGGTAATCGGAGATGATCCTGTTAGTAGTTTAGTTTTCTATAGAAATAGTACTTCTAAGTAGAGAATTCAAAATGATCTACAATGCCACATATTTAAAACAAATTGCCTTTATTACTTTAAAACAAAATATCAAGGACACTTTTGGTGTATAATGTTTTCAGGATAGACCCCATTGTCACAAATGCAGTTGTATCTAATGGAAAGAAGCAGTTTTCTTGTTAATGTCATGCAGCATTCTTCTTTAATAATCTCATCACCAAGCCAAACTTATGCAGTTAAAGTTAGGTTAAATATATTAAGCAAGGAAAGATTTCCATGTAGCTTATAGAAATGAAAGATGCATGTCGTCTAGTGAAAATGTAGAAATAGGTGGTCCAGCAGAGATGTTATTTAGCACATGTAATTCAGAAAGCAGATGGTACCCTCAGGCAGTGGGCATACTTGTTTTATACCTTCAGTGGTAACCTTAATTGTATTGTAGTCCTCATTTGTTTTTATTTGACTTCCCGAACTGGAAGGATGTTTATTGTTTATTTTATTTTAAACCAGTTCAAATATAGAAATATTTCTGATGGTGGTTGTCTCAAATGAGCTTTGGTTCTTCATTGTTGTCAGGTCGAATTTGCAGGCCATTATGATTTTATCAGAGTTGTATATCTAACTGCCTCACTTCATGCCGTTTCTCCCTGTAGAGGCACTGGCATACCATACATGATTTATGTCTTCATTTATGGAATCTTATAGTTTGCTATGTCAACTAAGCTTATGTATGATTTGGTGGCAAATGTTACTAAATCCTTCAGTTTCTGTTAGTTTGATAAAGTGATACCTGACTGAGCATTTTGCCAAGGGCTCAAATAGTAAATCTATTAAACTCTATTGACAATTACCCAAGTACTTATTTTAGGTCTTATTTGTATCTCAGAAACATGTTTAACTATGTGAACATATGGATGATTGTGTCATCACATGCAGGTAGACTTATGTAGTCTGGAAGAAGTCTAGATACATTTCATTTTGTGAGTCCAGTCACATGATTCAAGGTTAAGATATAAATGTCCTGATTTGTTTACTCTGTTCTGTTTTGGGACATATGTGAACCTGTCCAATCTGCAGACAAGATTTAAAGGGAAATAGTGTACTGTGATGGGGTTGTTAACCTTTTAATTGTACTGCTTCCAAGTTTTTATTTTAGAAGGGACACAATGTTCATTGATTCCCAGGTGAAGTACATACATTTTGGGAGTTTGTCCTTTTATCTTTTGAGAACATCAGTTATGAAGTGTTTAAAGTATTATTGTTGACATTTTATTGAGATAGGGATGAAATACAGCTTAAGCTAGGAAGTTCAGTGCTTGTATTGTCAATCCCAACACACAATTGGCTGTAGAGGCCACATTTACCCTGGTCACCAATGTTTACTGGATGAAATGGCACAGTTGCAAATTTTCTAAAATAGTTCATAGGAATAAGGTAATATTGTTACATTGATGTGTTGATGGTTAAAAAGCATGGTCATCTCGATACAAGAATTCCTGGGTAGTTCAGCTACTGAGTACAGCATACTTCTATAGTTCAAGACATCGCTGTCATAATCAGATTTATTAAGTACCATAATGCTATGGAGGTTTTGTAGGCATTATGGAAATCTGGACCACCAATTGAACTTGAAGATATAAGCTTGGAAGAAATATTATTCTACATGAAGTCAGGATCATTTCAATTTTGGGAGCATGGTCAACAAGCACTGAAGTTCTCATGGGATAGTGTAACTCTTTAATGGAGAAGTGATTCAGTTCTATAAACAATGAGTCTTTTGTCCTCCGTGTATGTGTAACTGTGATAAGATGGAAAGTACCTACTTACTTTATTATATTCATGTTTTATCATGAACAAGTTTGCCCATTATGGGGCAGTTTTAGTTGTTACTCCTGTGTTTTACCGATAGTCAGAAACAGTTGTGATAATACTTCTCCATCTTACCATAGTGCAACTATGCTAATACTGAAGAAATTTGATTTCAAATGTCACTGAATTGTCAAAAAATAATTTATGCCAAAGAATTGTATTTTCTTATTTCTTTACTTCTAAGGTGTTGAATGAGTTCTGGACAGTGTTGTTAATGTTTGATGTTTGTCTTTGACATTGTTAGTTTATTGTGTTAATGATGGTTCTAAAAAAACTTATTCAAAGCATTATTTGATTTAAGAATTTGATAAATAGCACAGTGTGACAAAGGCCAGCCTTAGTGGTGGCCTGGGTGTTGTACACCATTAACATCTTTACTTTAGAAGTGGAGCATATAAACAAATGTAAGTTTCCTTATGGAATGCTACCTATACTAAGCTATGTACTCGCGTACACAGCAGCAAAATAATTTTCTTTTAAATGTTTTGCTGAAAGTATCTACATAGTAAGTTAGTATGGTGTATGACTATCGTACAAACAACAAATGATCTGGCGTAGTCCTGTTCACATATGTATCTCTCCCTCCACCAGTGGCTCTCATTACTTCATACAGCACCTGATGAACATATTTCTGGATTATCCCACCTGATGTTAATCTTCATAACATTGCTTTAATCCTCATTTCATCTTGTCATAAATCTTATCGCCAGACATATTTTGTTTGTGCATTCTAGAGAACTTATTGTATGTTTGCTTATTTTGTATGTTGTATGATATAGTCACATATCACAAAGACACCTGTATTTTTTGTTCAGCAAAGGTAAAGTTAAGTCAATGCAAAAATACAAGGGTTCTCTGGAGATTGAATATTGCATATGTATGAAGTTATAAAATACATAGCAAAGCATTAATCAAAATATTGTTCAGTTATAATTAAATTGATTTTTTTTAAGTAGATGTTTTGGATCCTCTTCCCTGCCACCCCCTATTCACTGCAATTACAGCTGTCAGGTGAAATGACACCGCCATGACATTTTTTTTTAAAAGCATGAAAAATAGAATCGGTAGTAGAGATTCTGTATGCATGATGCTTACACTTATCCTACTCATTGGTTTTTATCCTTCTGTTTCAAAAAGGGGGACATGGGTCATCTAAGGCGCTGCAATTTTCTGTGCAGAGTTGCGTTCTTTGGGCACGCCTTAAACCTATGATCGTGGGTTCGAATCCTGGTTTCAACCCGATCATATTTCTAGGTTTGTCAGCACCATACCCGTGGGTTTCACCACAGTGGTAAACATTTGAGACCTTCATCACTTCGGGCTTTCCTCACATCTAGCTGACATGCCGTGATATAACTAGAATACTGTTCAAAGCAGTGTTTAACCTATCTCGCTCACTCACTGTTTCAAAAGGCAACACATTACTTTTATTCTGGTACTCAGGTTCAAAATTAGATGTTTGTTTTGTGTAGTTTAGTATAACCTCAAAGAGGGTTACGTTGACAATAGTTAGACCTTTTATTTCAGAATTGTGGCCTCTTGTGATGCTACATTGCTCTTTGGAACAAAATGAGACGATCTGCATCTATCACAGACCTTTTCCATGTGTAAAAGGACATGCATTGATATTTTACCATATTCTGTGATCACATTTTACCCTGCCGAAAACAATTTTTATCTTCCATACTTGACAAAGAGAACAACCATGTACATTGACCAATTGTTATTGAAGCACTTGTATGTTTTGTATGCAAATATCAGTATTCCATATTGATGCCAAATATATTTGCACTATGTGCAAACAAGATGGTAGTGTTTGTATGTGACTGTAGGAAGGTGGAAAGGCATTGTTTATTTTCTGGGTGGAGGAAAGTGCATAAGCATTTTCATTCAAAAGTTCTATCTTTGATAAGAAGTCATGATGGAACTATTCTTCCTTAATGAAAATAATAAAATAATAATTTTTGATGTCATTCTAGTTATGATGTGAAATAGTTTGACTTGAAATCCATGTGAGATTTTCAAAAATGGCTGCCAAAAGAGCCACAGTAGAAATCTTTTACTGGAAGAGATACTTGAGATAAGTAAATGAACTACAGTCTCATACAGCTCCAAATCATGTTGATTTGAAGGTATTGTGTGCACTAGAAGGGTCTTTTTGACCACTGTATGTCGTTGTTTGAATGCATGACTTGTAGACTATAGAAACAGGGTGATCAGGAACAATATGGCTGTTTAGCGTGACACTGTACCTTTAAATGTGTTAATTTGGCAAGTGTTGTACATAATATACATATATTACTGTTAATTTGATGCAATAATGTTTTTGTTGAGATCATCCACATGCCTTTCTTTTATCATGAGCTATTATCATCTATTCCTGTATTTTCATACCCATTGCAGTTGCTAACATGCAGCACTGAATAAAGTGTAAATAATTTTCTCTTTTTAATTTACTATTTGCACCCTCAATACCATGTCTATGGCCATGGACAAGCTCCTCCCTTGCTTTGCGGACTCAACAGAATGGATGCTTGTTTTTCTAGACAGATTTCTTTTATTTGGAAATGAAATTTGTTTTTTTATATATTAATTTCATATCAAGTATAGCTGGGGAATGTTTATAAGCTGCTGCTCACCCTTATTAAAAACATCCCACAGGATCTGCATTATTTATGAAGCAAGCATAAACTTGTTATGTATTCATATGAAAGAGAACTAGACTTTTTTCATTTAAAATCTTCTGCCTCTGTGGCCTAGTGGTAGAGCATTCGCCCAGAGAGCGGAAGGTTTGGGGTTCGATCCCCGGCCACACCATAAGATGTTAAAAGATGGTACTTATTGTTACCCTGTCTGGCACTCGGCATTAAGGGGTTAAAACAAGGACTGGTCGGCTGGGAGCCTGTTTACTGTGTCTGAGTTGGGTATTTATGTTAAATTGCCGCATGGTATCTCAGTGAGCTAGCACTATAAAATGGGCATTAGTAGTCTGGACTAGTACACGCAGACGCACACAAGCACATCGCTATATAAGTGCAATAACCTTGAACATGACGTTAAACCCCCATTTCAACTCGCCTATCCTGCAGTAGATGCAGCCATGGCTATGTCCTGGAGACCATCTTCATCACTCCTATGACAACCATTGGAACAAAAGAAATGTACACCCAAAGTATGGACGTCGGCACCGGAGATGTGCTGCTAATGCTTTGTGTGTGCTGACACAGGTCTGTGAGCGATAACCCTTTATTGACATAACGATGTTACACATGGATGTCCGCTCCCTGGGAAGTCTGTGCACTGTTTGTTAATAAGACGGTAGATCTTAATTAATGGGTGAACCTGTAGATGCTACTCATGTGCCCGTCAAACCAGCTTCAGTTATGCCCAATGACGAATAATGCCTAATCTGGGCATTGCGCATTCTGTGTCAATCAAAGATCTGACAGACGTTTGTTGCCCTGTTTCGTTTTTTATGGGTACCTTCAACACCCAACAGTCCATGTTGCACATTAAACGCATGCATGTTCTCAACACCTGCTCAGAAAGACACGTTCTGCCTAGTCTGACGCATGGATATGACGAGTCTATATGTTCTGTGTTGGGGTTTGAATCCCAAAATGATGAGTGGTAAATTTCTAGACATGTTATTCTATCAGTGTGTCTTTTGTGCAAATAAATAACATTTTTTATATTATTGATCAGAAGTTGCAACATGAAATGTGCGTTTCTTTTGGAACTTAGTATATTAAATACTCATGTGATTGTTTTGTATTAGCCCCAATGGTTGATCATCCAGACCGCCTCCTTTGTCCTATTCATGCACACAGGAGACTGTTCATCTCCTGCAAGACTTTCTCTGACTAATGCCCCAATTTCACTACGACCAAGAATATCCCAAATCAACCCGAATAAGAAATTTATCATGTTCATCTATAAATCTCTATCATTTCTTGAAGTTCTTAAATGAATCTTATTTGATTCCCAAACTTTTGTACAGTTCGCGGGAGTTTGTCGAATCGGCGAGAAAGTTTTTATCCCCGAATTGCTATTTCGTGGCTGTATCGTAATCCATTCATAATTAATTCTTATGTTCTGTAACAGCCTCGTAATCAATTCTTTTGCATTCCTGGCTATTCTTAGCGATTCGTGGCTCCCGAAATATCTTGTCCTCAACCCGAAAAACATCCTGTCCTGAGTCAACTACAAATCATGTAAGAATTTAGTAAGAACAACACGATTCCCCAAGGACCAGGACCAGGACCAGAGCAACACATGCTCTCAGTTGAACCTCCATGGTGGAAATGTGGGTTGGCCAGCCTTTCGGGACCCAAGAACATGCCGAAGTGTCAGGAAAAGTACCAATTTTCGCAAACTATTCGTAAATATGTCATATTAGTCATATCTTGTTCGTTGCGATTGGCCTGCATTCATACATGCATTCGGCATATAATCGTAACTTGGTTGTAGGTGATTCTTACAATTTGTGCATGATCCGTACATGAATCTTGTAATTCGTACGTTTCTTAACCCATTCCTGGCATTCTTCATATTTTTAAACCTGAATAGTTTTCGTATCTCTGTTGTACGTTTGTTGTAACTGCATCATACCTCCTACTGATTCTCACCGAAAGTTTGCATTATTGGACGAATCATCACAAATTTCAAAAGTTTCCGATTCGGGGTGATTCGGGATATTTGTGGTCGTAGTGAAAGGGGGCCATTAGACATTACCAAAGCCACAGTGGCAGGATGGCTCAAGTCTACTTTAGCCGGAAGTATCGTTGAGCCCAAGATTCTTCACCTATACTTGCATCTCAACCCACGAAATAGTAGCCTTGGCTATGAGTCTTGCGTCCTGGACTACCATCTCGGTAGAACAGCTAGTATCGAGCTGTCAGTAGGGCTCACACAAGACATTAACCAACTTTTACCTGCGTGATGTCCAACCAGACCAAGAATGGATTTACACCCTAGGTTCTATTGTGGTAGCTCAATCCATTAAGAACCATTAGTTTTTTCCCTCGTATGAAAAAAAAAAAGGGGGGGAATGATGAGCCAACATCACCAACCTCAGAAGGTAGGTAAACCTTTTGATCTTCTGAACTACCGTGTACATAATACATCAAGGGCTATAGCTGAATCAAGCCTGAAGTCACAAGCTTGATATCTGATTGACCGGAAGTGACGTCACAATCGGAGGTGACAAAGATACCAGAAGTGATGTCACAGACCGGAAATGAAAAAAATAGGGAAATAAGCTTTGCTGTCGGTACATTTGAAATAGCGCACATACAAATTTAACTCATGAGAGAATCAAATGTTGAGATGTATTTGTGTGCATTATTTCCAACACGTATATGGTAGACAAGGCTGGGAAGCCATGATAGCATAACATTTTACTGTGTCTAAAACTAAGTGTTCCGGGTATACATGTATTTGTATGTTCTGTGTAGTTTTTAAGTCCTCTTGAGGTGATTCAATAGTCAGTGGTTTCCAAATCTATTAGGTATAACTAACAATATGTGGAATCAAAGAGACCTAGGTACATTCTGGCAATGATGTAATTGAGATAGAGGATTCGAAAAATTATAGAAATACAAGTATTTGTCACAGAGTGACGAAATATCCCCCGCCTGTACACCATAGTACCAAATATGAAGACAATCCAGCGATTAGTTCTTGAGATATTGTGGCAACACCGTTTTCCAACTCCAAAAACAGATTTGCCTGCTGTGACCTTGAAAATGGGGTCAAGGTCACCAAATCTGACAGGTGTATGCGGTGTCTGTATATACACTATAGTTCCAAATATGAAGACAATCCAGCGATTAGTTCTTGAGATATCGCGGCAACACCGTTTTCTAACTCCAAAAGCAGATTTACCTGCTGTGACCTTGAAAATGGGGTCAAGGTCACCAAAACCGACTGGTGTCTGCGGTGTCTGTATATACACCATAGTTCCAAATATGAAGACAATCCAGTGTTTAGTTCTTGAGATATCGCGGCAACACCGTTTTCCAACTCCAAAAGCAGATTTGCCTGCTGTGACCTTGAAAATGGGATCAAGGTCACCAAAACCGACTGGTGTCTGCGGAGTCTATGTATACACCATAGTTCCAAATATGAAGACAATCCAGTGTTTAGTTCTTGAGATATCGCGGCAACACCGTTTTCCAACTCCAAAAGCAGATTTGCCTGCTGTGACCTTGAAAATGGGATCAAGGTCACCAAAACCGACTGGTGTCTGCGGAGTCTATGTATACACCATAGTTCCAAATATGAAGACAATCCAGTGTTTAGTTCTTGAGATATCGCGGCAACAAACAGGTGGGACGTACGGACGGACGTACGTACGGACGGTCGTGAATACTATATCCCCCGCTTCGCGCTTTCGCGCGGTGGGGGATAAAAAGTGATAATTCTATGAATGCTTTCTCTATTACATCAAAAGGCCCATTCATCTGCCACTAGTTGGTAGATGTTTGTAAAGAAGTTAGGTTTTCCTGCCTCTGCACACAGAAGACCTTTTAGCTGATTGGTGCTACTACGGCGACAACTGGTTGTGTGCAGTTGACATTGAAGAGGACTTCTGTTGAAAATGTGAAGAATTAGTTATGGTGTGATTGCAGCCAGAGTACAGAATTTGGCAATGATGTAATAGAGGTAGAATTCTTAGAATTATCAACAATGATAAGTTTTGTTCCTATGATTGTTGGTTCGAATCCATGTTCACCCCGATTTTGTTTCTAGGTTTGTCAGTACCATACCCGTGCTCGTGGGTTTCACCAAAACGGTAAATGTCCGAGACCTGTATCACTACAGGCTTTCCTATCCTGTCCCATTCCTCTACGAAGAATGGGTCTTTAGCTCCTAGTCAAACTACTATAACCGGTAACTAAACTGGCGAAATGTGTCGTGTTATGTACTGGTTCATCCAGACAATCTCAACTCAGGCAGAGGTTTGAAACTACTGCAGGTTCAATCTTACAAGTAAATGTGTACTTAACAAAAATGATACCTTGACTGGTATAGGCAATACATTTGTTTCAATTATGCATTATAAAAAACAAACAAAACTCCACAAATTTTCCCATTATATTTCTGAGAATGTCATCATGTTTATCAGGTACACTTGAGACAAGCCGATCGGCCGAACACCGCAACGTACAGACACACAGACAACTCTACACTGTCCACGTTTCTCATTACACTCAGCGTACGTTTACACTCGGCTCTCATGTGACTACATCAACATGAGGCATCCCCACTTCTCAATTCTGTTTGGTAATATCAGACAAAAATAGAATGAGATGAAAATAATGATACAAGTCCTACACAATAATAGGCTGATGAACTACCCATCTTTGACTTACATGCAGAAATTGCTATTAAAGATGTTCACTTATATTACTTAAAATTATGTACATTCATAGAAAGGTTAAGTCCCTCTAAAACAATTGCACATTGCTCCTAACACAAAGTTGACTTCCAGCAATTTCACATTATTCTCCCAACCTACACACATATTTAACCACTAAAACAAACCATTTACAATTAAAAGATTCCATGACTTTTGTCCTGAAACATTTTCACACAAAAAAAAGAAGAAAATATAACCATGTAGAAATCATTCTTTAAAGCAATTTAAATTTATTTAAGGGAGACCAAAATGAACTACTTTGTTGATCCTCAACTACTTGAAGAATGAGGAAAGAATAAAACACACTGTAATAAAACGGCTGACAAACAAAATGGAATGAATAAAACTGGAAGAAATGAGTGAAACAAATACCAGACAAGAAACCGATGATAGCAACAAAATAGTCAAATAAAAGAGGAAAACAATGACAAAATCGGGATAGTTATATCAACTTCACAAGAATTGAACTTTTGCATGAATTGTAGAGTGCTGCCATTGTTCAACTTTGATATCAGCTCAGATGAAATGTTTTAGACTCAGCTAATCCGACAAAATCAAACAAGTTTGGCAAGTTGGTACAATGTAATTTCTGACAATATCCATGTGATAATACAGCCTAACTAACCAGTAGTTTGACAATGATATGGAAGACATGTCCAGGAGAGCAGTGTTTCATGCTGAATAATATGTAGAATGACATTAGAAAAACATGGTATTTATACAGCCTGTTATTTTTTAGATCATTTTTCTGACACAGAATTTCAAAAAATAGAAATTAATCATATCAACTTTTTTTGTTACAAATCTGGTAAAAATCATAATATGAAATTGGTATTTAATGCTACCGCTCAGTCTTAGTCTACATTTGGCTCTCACACCCAGTAATTGCTATAAGGCTGATTTAAAAGAAAGCCATTTCCTTTGAGCTGACCTATTTTCAAGACAGTACAAATACAACATGTCACACTTGCAACTTCAGCATAGTTTGCAGTTAGCTTGCATGAAACATCAATTACTTACATAAGTAAATTCCATCCGTTGCATCACAACTATTAATCACATAGTTCCATGTCAGCATTCTTGTAGTTTCCACACTTCTGGAAATTATTTAAGTCTGCTTAATAATGACAAGAACCAAAGAGAAAATGATACTGCAGACGTTGGTACCAGTCCAAGGATCAAGGTCATCCTATTACTAAAACAGGATGAGAGTAGAATTACAATTCCCCAATGGCATCAGACTGGTCACAATGTCCAACCAGAGTCTAGACAGTCACCAAAATAAGCAAGTACATCTCTGTTGTGGCTTAACAAGGTATTATCTGTATTTCAGAATAATAGCCTGGATTAATTCTGATAATTACTTATATACAATGGCTTAACATGTTCAATTTTCAAATCATGTAAAGTAGGCATAATAATGTAAGTACACTGTGCCAGATGTTTCAAGCTGAAATTTTGAATATTTCTGGTAATAATGTTTTGCTTTTACTCCAATGTATTCAATTGACCTTATAGCTGTGGACTTTAAAACTAAGCTGGCATGAATGTAAACAGCTCCATGGCATGCCGACTGTAACACCCTCATATAAAAATAATCATTTTCATCAAATTGATAAGAACAAACACCTTAATAAACAAGCTAACAAATTATTGTTACAAGACTAAAAACATCCAAAACTAACTGAAATAGATCAAAGGGTTCATGTTGTTCACACAAATACTGGGAAAGATTATAATTGCAGGATTCTGGCTTAGTATGTCAGGGATAAACAGATTCTCATTGTATCCCGTTTCATGCAAGACAGGACAATTTGTATAACCTTTATATAAAAAAGAAGCAATTCAAAATCAAAATTCACTGAAGATTATATGGCATCAAATCAGATTTTGATTTTCTTCTTTCAGTTCATTCCAAAACATTTCAAGTTGGAATAGTAACTAAATTAAATCAGTGTGTTTTAACAGCATCATGATAGCACATATCACAGGATATTTTCAAATAAATAAATAAAATCATCTTTCTCCATACCGGTACTTTAAAAAGCAAGGCATGTAACTAACATGTGATTGCTACAGAAACATTTCAGTTGAGAAACCAAACTTCATCTTGATCTGCTCAGCATTGTTTATCACGGCAAAATGAGATGGTAATTGAAAAAGGGAACAAAAAAATTACAAAAGGTTTCATTTGTAGATTCTGTACCTCCAAATCGGGAGGTGAAAATAGTTTGGGCAATTTAGAAAACTAAGGACATCTAATCACTATTTTCAGTGTTGTATCATGAAGAAAAGTGATCTTCAGTTAAATGACATCATTCATATTTGTAACATGTAAAACCATGTTGCCCCTACTACTGGCTGACAGAAGACTACTAGTGCCTTGCTACTAAAGTATATCATACATGCAACAGGAGGTCCCGTTGCCTCCTACAAATGGCAAGACTCAAAAGCAGACAACACAAGATGCACACTGCATCGAGCACATAGCCCCGCAGCCAGTCATGCTTAATATCCCTGCTGGCTGGTCGGTACAGTCAGCTGGCTGGTCAGCAAGGTCCTCCTGACTCAAGGTTCATGGCTCAGCAAACCTGCTCCTGTGAAAGTTCTGTGCCTGCACGAGGCAGTTCTATTTCTGCTTGCAGTAGAGTAATGTCTCTGCATCAGATTCAGGAGTAAGTAAACATTTTGTAAATGCACCAGTCTTTCTGCAACTAGTAACTGCAAGTATCACTGTAGTGTCACAAGTGCTGTGCAACTGCATGCAAGACTGCTGATGAAACATGCCTTCGTGTGACTGCATACAGTCTTCGTGCACCACAGTACAAAGTCCAGCATGAGCCTCTCTGAATCTCTAAACCCTGTGATAATGTTGCAAGGCTTGTCTACAGATCAAGTAGTGATGAACAAGTTGTGATGTCAGAAATATAACATGGAAGTAATATATCACACTCAAGTCATGTCAAGGGCAGTATGTTTGCCTGTAACACCAGATTTGTGCTACCACATTGGGAATCAGATCATTGTAGAAACTCATTGTCATTCCATCAGGCTGTTCATCCGACTCCATGATCAGAGTCAACACACAGTACATTCCAGTTGGCTGAATACAGGTATCAAGTTGCACCAGGCGAGGTATGAAGATAAAACATGCTTTAGGTAGGATTCTGTAAAAATAATATAGTGGGGCATCACTTCAGCACTTTAGTTGGGGAATCTTGAGCAGAATCAGGTTTGGAAAATTTTCTTGCTACCTCCGGTGATCTCCCCGGCTTCTTCATGACCGACGGTTTGGCCTTGACAGGTGGTTTTGGTTTCTCTGCCACCGGTGGAGGAACCGGGCTCATACCCACCAATGCAGGAAGATCGGATTTTGCGTCTGTGACAGATTTTGAGCGTATGGCAGGTGAAGTCGACTGAACACGCCGGATTATTCCACCTGAGTTAAATGTTGATAATGGTGGCGGTGGAGGATGATCAGAGTTATTTCCTCTCTCAGAGTCTTCAGACAGATTCATACGATTTGTGGTTGATATGTTGCGTGGCATAGAACTAGCTTTCTTCAAAGTTCCTTGATTTGATTTAGCAAAGGTTTCAGCAGCACTTATTGTGGGACTATCTGGCTCGCTACTCTCCTGTGAAGGGGGGGAGTCGGAGCCCTCTGGCAGATCCAACACTAGGTCTGGAGTGTGCTTGGGAGTTTGCTTGGCCTTGACAACAGGCAAACTCATCCTCTTGGCAGACCTCTGTTGCATCTCCAAGGACTTGAGCCCTGCCATCACCTCTTCTAGAGCATTGTCAATATCCACAGATATATCATCTGCTGTGGAATCTGGGGAAGACACCTGTCTCTTCAGTTCCTTCGGTGCATCACCCCCACCAGGGGGACACTCTACTTCTTCTACACTAGTTAAACTAGGAACTTTGGATGTAATTACACTTGTTTTAGGGGTGGAGGGTTGTGACACTGTGGTAGTGTCCACATCAATAATGTCAGTCTCTCGCACGATGATGTTGGGCTGTGACACAGACTTCTCGACAGGCTTGTCAATGCTGACCGAGGTCTCCTCACTGGACTGTCGGATGGGGGGCTTGGTGGGTAAGGACTGGGTTGAGCTGGTCTTGTCACCTTCCTCGCTGCTCAAACTCTTGGGCTCGTCAATAGACCTGCATAATACAAGCACATTTTATAGAATGTACAGACTGCAGGTTAGCTTATAAATAGCGACAATATCTTCTTTGTAATATAACAACCATAGTTTGACATGTATTGTACTGAGATTGTATCAGGGATGAGGCCCTCTATACATACCCCTGTTTGACTAGGGGGATGTATTTATCAGGGATGAGGCCCTCTATACATACCCATGTTTGACAAGACAGTGTATTTATCAGGGATGAGGCCCTCTATACATACCCCTGTTTGACGAGGCAGATGTATTTATTAGGGATGAGGCCCTCTAAACATACCCCTGTTTGACTAGGCAGATGTATTTATTAGGGATGAGGCCCTCTATACATACCCCTGTTTGACAAGACGGATGTATATATTAGGGATGAGGCCCTCTATACATACCCCTGTTTGACAAGAGAGATGTATATATTAGAGATGAGGCCCTCTATACATACCCCTGTTTGACAAGAGAGATGTATTTATCAGGGATGAGACCCTCTATACATACCCCTGTTTGACAAGAGAGATGTATTTATCAGGGATGAGGCCCTCTATACATACCCCTGTTTGACGAGGCAGATGTATTTATTAGGGATGAGGCCCTCTATACATACCCCTGTTTGACTAGGCAGATGTATTTGTAAGGGATGAGGCCCTCTATACATACCCCTGTTTGACTAGGCAGATGTATTTATAAGGGATGAGGCCCTCTATACATACCCCTGTTTGAAGAGAGAGATGTATTTATCAGGGATGAGGCCCTCTATACATACCCCTGTTTGAAGAGAGAGATGTATTTATCAGGGATGAGGCCCTCTATACATACCCCTGTTTGACTAGGCAGATGTATTTATCAGGGATGAGACCCTCTATAAATACCCCTGTTTGACAAGAGAGATGTATTTATCAGGGATGAGGCCCTCTATACATACCCCTGTTTGACTAGGGAGATGTATTTATTAGGGATGAGGCCCTCTATACATACCCGTTTGACTAGGGGGATGTATTTATCAGGGATGAGGCCCTCTATACATACCCCTGTTTGACGAGGCAGATGTATTTATTAGGGATGAGGCCCTCTGTACATACCCCTGTTTGACTAGGCAGATGTATTTATAAGGGATGAGGCCCTCTATACATACCCCTGTTTGACAAGGCAGATGTATTTATAAGGGATGAGGCCCTCTATACATACCCCTGTTTGACTAGGCAGATGTATTTATAAGGGATGAGGCCCTCTATACATACCCCTGTTTGACAAGGCAGATGTATTTATAAGGGATGAGGCCCTCTATACATACCCCTGTTTGACTAGGGGGATGTATTTATCAGGGATGAGGCCCTCTATACATACCCCTGTTTGACAAGGCAGATGTATTTATTAGGGATGAGGCCCTCTATACATACCTGTTTGACTCGGGGGATGTATTTATTAGGGATGAGGCCCTCTATACATACCCCTGTTTGACAAGAGATATGTATTTATCAGGGATGAGGCCCTCTATACATACCCTTTTGACTAGGGAGATGTATTTATTAGGGATGAGGCCCTCTATACATACCCCTGTTTGACTAGGGGGATGTATTTATTAGGGATGAGGCCCTCTATACATACCCCTGTATGACAAGAGAGATGTATTTATCAGGGATGAGGCCCCCTATACATTCCCCTGTTTGACTAGGGAGATGTATTTATTAGGGATGAGGCCCTCTATACATACCCGTTTGACTAGGGGGATGTATTTATCAGGGATGAGGCCCTCTATACATACCCCTGTTTGACGAGGCAGATGTATTTATTAGGGATGAGGCCCTCTATACATACCCCTGTTTGACTAGGCAGATGTATTTATAAGGGATGAGGCCCTCTATACATACCCCTGTTTGACAAGGCAGATGTATTTATAAGGGATGAGGCCCTCTATACATACCCCTGTTTGATTAGGGGGATGTATTTATCAGGGATGAGGCCCTCTATACATACCCCTGTTTGACAAGGGAGATGTATTTATTAGGGATGAGGCCCTCTATACATACCTGTTTGACTTGGGGGATGTATTTATCAGGGATGAGGCCCTCTATACATACCCGTTTGACTAGGGAGATGTATTTATTAGGGTTGAGGCCCTCTATACATACCCGTTTGACTAGGGAGATGTATTTATCAGGGATGAGGCCCTCTATACATACCCGTTTGAGTAGGGAGATGTATTTATTAGGGATGAGGCCCTCTATACATTCCCCTGTTTGACAAGAGAGATGTATTTATCAGGGATGAGGCCCTCTATACATACCCACGTTTGACAAGACAGTGTATTTATTAGGGATGAGGCCCTCTATACATTCCCCTGTTTGACAAGAGAGATGTATTTATCAGGGATGAGGCCCTCTATACATACCCCTATTTGACAAGAGAGATGTATTTATTAGGGATGAGGCCCTCTATACATACCCCTGTTTGACAAGGCAGATGTATTTATAAGGGATGAGGCCCTCTATACATACCCCTGTTTGACTAGGGGGATGTATTTATCAGGGATGAGACCCTCTATAAATACCCCTGTTTGACAAGAGAGATGTATTTATCAGGGATGAGGCCCTCTATACATACCCCTGTTTGACTAGGCAGATGTATTTATAAGGGATGAGGCCCTCTATACATACCCCTGTTTGACAAGGCAGATGTATTTATAAGGGATGAGGCCCTCTATACATACCCCTATTTGACAAGAGAGATGTATTTATCAGGGATGAGGACCCCTATACATTCCCCTGTTTGACTAGGGAGATGTATTTATTAGTGATGAGGCCCTCTATACATACCCCTGTTTGCCTAGGGGGATGCATTTATTAGGGATGAGGCCCGCTATACATACCCGTTTGACAAGGCAGATGTATTTATAAGGGATGAGGCCCTCTATACATACCCCTATTTGACAAGAGAGATGTATTTATCAGGGATGAGGACCCCTATACATTCCCCTGTTTGACTAGGGAGATGTATTTATCAGGGATGAGGCCCTCTATACATACCCCTATTTGACAAGAGAGATGTATTTATTAGGGATGAGGCCCTCTATACATACCCCTGTTTGACAAGGCAGATGTATTTATAAGGGATGAGGCCCTCTATACATACCCCTGTTTGACTAGGGGGATGTATTTATCAGGGATGAGACCCTCTATAAATACCCCTGTTTGACAAGAGAGATGTATTTATCAGGGATGAGGCCCTCTATACATACCCCTGTTTGACTAGGCAGATGTATTTATAAGGGATGAGGCCCTCTATACATACCCCTGTTTGACAAGGCAGATGTATTTATAAGGGATGAGGCCCTCTATACATACCCCTGTTTGACTAGGGGGATGTATTTATCAGGGATGAGGCCCTCTATACATACCCCTGTTTGACAAGGCAGATGTATTTATTAGGGATGAGGCCCTCTATACATACCTGTTTGACTTGGGGGATGTATTTATTAGGGATGAGGCCCTCTATACATACCCCTGTTTGACAAGAGATATGTATTTATCAGGGATGAGGCCCTCTATACATACCCGTTTGACTAGGGAGATGTATTTATTAGGGATGAGGCCCTCTATACATACCCCTGTTTGACTAGGGGGATGTATTTATTAGGGATGAGGCCCTCTATACATACCCCTGTATGACAAGAGAGATGTATTTATCAGGGATGAGGCCCCCTATACATTCCCCTGTTTGACTAGGGAGATGTATTTATTAGGGATGAGGCCCTCTATACATACCCGTTTGACTAGGGGGATGTATTTATCAGGGATGAGGCCCTCTATACATACCCCTGTTTGACGAGGCAGATGTATTTATTAGGGATGAGGCCCTCTATACATACCCCTGTTTGACTAGGCAGATGTATTTATAAGGGATGAGACCCTCTATAAATACCCCTGTTTGACAAGAGAGATGTATTTATCAGGGATGAGGCCCTCTATACATACCCCTGTTTGACTAGGCAGATGTATTTATAAGGGATGAGGCCCTCTATACATACCCCTGTTTGACAAGGCAGATGTATTTATAAGGGATGAGGCCCTCTATACATACCCCTATTTGACAAGAGAGATGTATTTATCAGGGATGAGGACCCCTATACATTCCCCTGTTTGACTAGGGAGATGTATTTATTAGTGATGAGGCCCTCTATACATACCCCTGTTTGCCTAGGGGGATGCATTTATTAGGGATGAGGCCCGCTATACATACCCGTTTGACAAGGCAGATGTATTTATAAGGGATGAGGCCCTCTATACATACCCCTATTTGACAAGAGAGATGTATTTATCAGGGATGAGGACCCCTATACATTCCCCTGTTTGACTAGGGAGATGTATTTATCAGGGATGAGGCCCTCTATACATACCCCTATTTGACAAGAGAGATGTATTTATTAGGGATGAGGCCCTCTATACATACCCCTGTTTGACAAGGCAGATGTATTTATAAGGGATGAGGCCCTCTATACATACCCCTGTTTGACTAGGGGGATGTATTTATCAGGGATGAGACCCTCTATAAATACCCCTGTTTGACAAGAGAGATGTATTTATCAGGGATGAGGCCCTCTATACATACCCCTGTTTGACTAGGCAGATGTATTTATAAGGGATGAGGCCCTCTATACATACCCCTGTTTGACAAGGCAGATGTATTTATCAGGGATGAGGCCCTCTATACATACCCCTATTTGACAAGAGAGATGTATTTATCAGGGATGAGGACCCCTATACATTCCCCTGTTTGACAAGGGAGATGTATTTATTAGGGATGAGGCCCTCTATACATACCCCTGTTTGCCTAGGGGGATGCATTTATTAGGGATGAGGCCCTCTATACATACCCCTGTTTGATTAGGGGGATGTATTTATCAGGGATGAGGCCCTCTATACATACCCCTGTTTGACAAGGGAGATGTATTTATTAGGGATGAGGCCCTCTATACATACCTGTTTGACTTGGGGGATGTATTTATCAGGGATGAGGCCCTCTATACATACCCGTTTGACTAGGGAGATGTATTTATTAGGGTTGAGGCCCTCTATACATACCCGTTTGACTAGGGAGATGTATTTATCAGGGATGAGGCCCTCTATACATACCCGTTTGAGTAGGGAGATGTATTTATTAGGGATGAGGCCCTCTATACATTCCCCTGTTTGACAAGAGAGATGTATTTATCAGGGATGAGGCCCTCTATACATACCCACGTTTGACAAGACAGTGTATTTATTAGGGATGAGGCCCTCTATACATTCCCCTGTTTGACAAGAGAGATGTATTTATCAGGGATGAGGCCCTCTATACATACCCCTATTTGACAAGAGAGATGTATTTATTAGGGATGAGGCCCTCTATACATACCCCTGTTTGACAAGGCAGATGTATTTATAAGGGATGAGGCCCTCTATACATACCCCTGTTTGACTAGGGGGATGTATTTATCAGGGATGAGACCCTCTATAAATACCCCTGTTTGACAAGAGAGATGTATTTATCAGGGATGAGGCCCTCTATACATACCCCTGTTTGACTAGGCAGATGTATTTATAAGGGATGAGGCCCTCTATACATACCCCTGTTTGACAAGGCAGATGTATTTATAAGGGATGAGGCCCTCTATACATACCCCTATTTGACAAGAGAGATGTATTTATCAGGGATGAGGACCCCTATACATTCCCCTGTTTGACTAGGGAGATGTATTTATTAGTGATGAGGCCCTCTATACATACCCCTGTTTGCCTAGGGGGATGCATTTATTAGGGATGAGGCCCGCTATACATACCCGTTTGACAAGGCAGATGTATTTATAAGGGATGAGGCCCTCTATACATACCCCTATTTGACAAGAGAGATGTATTTATCAGGGATGAGGACCCCTATACATTCCCCTGTTTGACTAGGGAGATGTATTTATCAGGGATGAGGCCCTCTATACATACCCCTATTTGACAAGAGAGATGTATTTATTAGGGATGAGGCCCTCTATACATACCCCTGTTTGACAAGGCAGATGTATTTATAAGGGATGAGGCCCTCTATACATACCCCTGTTTGACTAGGGGGATGTATTTATCAGGGATGAGACCCTCTATAAATACCCCTGTTTGACAAGAGAGATGTATTTATCAGGGATGAGGCCCTCTATACATACCCCTGTTTGACTAGGCAGATGTATTTATAAGGGATGAGGCCCTCTATACATACCCCTGTTTGACAAGGCAGATGTATTTATAAGGGATGAGGCCCTCTATACATACCCCTGTTTGACTAGGGGGATGTATTTATCAGGGATGAGGCCCTCTATACATACCCCTGTTTGACAAGGCAGATGTATTTATTAGGGATGAGGCCCTCTATACATACCTGTTTGACTTGGGGGATGTATTTATTAGGGATGAGGCCCTCTATACATACCCCTGTTTGACAAGAGATATGTATTTATCAGGGATGAGGCCCTCTATACATACCCGTTTGACTAGGGAGATGTATTTATTAGGGATGAGGCCCTCTATACATACCCCTGTTTGACTAGGGGGATGTATTTATTAGGGATGAGGCCCTCTATACATACCCCTGTATGACAAGAGAGATGTATTTATCAGGGATGAGGCCCCCTATACATTCCCCTGTTTGACTAGGGAGATGTATTTATTAGGGATGAGGCCCTCTATACATACCCGTTTGACTAGGGGGATGTATTTATCAGGGATGAGGCCCTCTATACATACCCCTGTTTGACGAGGCAGATGTATTTATTAGGGATGAGGCCCTCTATACATACCCCTGTTTGACTAGGCAGATGTATTTATAAGGGATGAGGCCCTCTATACATACCCCTGTTTGACAAGGCAGATGTATTTATAAGGGATGAGGCCCTCTATACATACCCCTGTTTGATTAGGGGGATGTATTTATCAGGGATGAGGCCCTCTATACATACCCCTGTTTGACAAGGGAGATGTATTTATTAGGGATGAGGCCCTCTATACATACCTGTTTGACTTGGGGGATGTATTTATCAGGGATGAGGCCCTCTATACATACCCGTTTGACTAGGGAGATGTATTTATTAGGGTTGAGGCCCTCTATACATACCCGTTTGACTAGGGAGATGTATTTATCAGGGATGAGGCCCTCTATACATACCCGTTTGAGTAGGGAGATGTATTTATTAGGGATGAGGCCCTCTATACATTCCCCTGTTTGACAAGAGAGATGTATTTATCAGGGATGAGGCCCTCTATACATACCCACGTTTGACAAGACAGTGTATTTATTAGGGATGAGGCCCTCTATACATTCCCCTGTTTGACAAGAGAGATGTATTTATCAGGGATGAGGCCCTCTATACATACCCCTATTTGACAAGAGAGATGTATTTATTAGGGATGAGGCCCTCTATACATACCCCTGTTTGACAAGGCAGATGTATTTATAAGGGATGAGGCCCTCTATACATACCCCTGTTTGACTAGGGGGATGTATTTATCAGGGATGAGACCCTCTATAAATACCCCTGTTTGACAAGAGAGATGTATTTATCAGGGATGAGGCCCTCTATACATACCCCTGTTTGACTAGGCAGATGTATTTATAAGGGATGAGGCCCTCTATACATACCCCTGTTTGACAAGGCAGATGTATTTATAAGGGATGAGGCCCTCTATACATACCCCTATTTGACAAGAGAGATGTATTTATCAGGGATGAGGACCCCTATACATTCCCCTGTTTGACTAGGGAGATGTATTTATTAGTGATGAGGCCCTCTATACATACCCCTGTTTGCCTAGGGGGATGCATTTATTAGGGATGAGGCCCGCTATACATACCCGTTTGACAAGGCAGATGTATTTATAAGGGATGAGGCCCTCTATACATACCCCTATTTGACAAGAGAGATGTATTTATCAGGGATGAGGACCCCTATACATTCCCCTGTTTGACTAGGGAGATGTATTTATCAGGGATGAGGCCCTCTATACATACCCCTATTTGACAAGAGAGATGTATTTATTAGGGATGAGGCCCTCTATACATACCCCTGTTTGACAAGGCAGATGTATTTATAAGGGATGAGGCCCTCTATACATACCCCTGTTTGACTAGGGGGATGTATTTATCAGGGATGAGACCCTCTATAAATACCCCTGTTTGACAAGAGAGATGTATTTATCAGGGATGAGGCCCTCTATACATACCCCTGTTTGACTAGGCAGATGTATTTATAAGGGATGAGGCCCTCTATACATACCCCTGTTTGACAAGGCAGATGTATTTATCAGGGATGAGGCCCTCTATACATACCCCTATTTGACAAGAGAGATGTATTTATCAGGGATGAGGACCCCTATACATTCCCCTGTTTGACAAGGGAGATGTATTTATTAGGGATGAGGCCCTCTATACATACCCCTGTTTGCCTAGGGGGATGCATTTATTAGGGATGAGGCCCGCTATACATACCCCTGTTTGACAAGAGAGATGTATTTATCAGGGATGAGGCCCCCTATACATTCCCCCGTTTGACTAGGGAGATGTATTTATTAGGGATGAGGCCCTCTATACATACCCCTGTTTGACAAGAGAGATGTATATATTAGAGATGAGGCCCTCTATACATACCCCTGTTTGACAAGAGAGATGTATATATTAGAGATGAGGCCCTCTATACATACCCCTGTTTGACAAGAGAGATGTATTTATCAGGGATGAGGCCCTCTATACATACCCCTGTTTGACGAGAGATGTATTTATCAGGGATGAGACCCCCTATACATTCCCGTTTGACTAGGGAGATGTATTTATTAGGGATGAGGCCCTCTATACATACCCCTGTTTGACAAGGCAGATGTATTTATTAGGGATGAGGCCCTCTATACATACCCCTGTTTGACTAGGGGGATGTATTTATTAGGGATGAGGCCTTCTATACATACCTGTTTGACTAGGGAGATGTATTTATTAGGAATGAGGCCCGCTATACATACCCCTGTTTGACTAGGGGGATGTATTTATCAGGGATGAGGCCCTCTATACATACCCCTGTTTGACTAGGGGGATGTATTTATTAGGGATGAGGCCCTCTATACATACCCCTGTTTGACTAGGGAGCTGTATTTATCAGGGATGAGGCCCTCTATACATACCCCTGTTTGACTAGGAGGATGTATTTATCGAGGATGAGGCCCTCTATACATACCCCTGTTTGACAAGAGAGATGTATTTTTTAGGGATGAGGCCCTCTATACATACCCCTGTTTGACAAGAGAGATGTATTTATCAGGGATGAGGCCCTCTATACATACCCCTGTTTGACAAGAGAGATGTATTTATCAGGGATGAGGCCCTCTATACATACCCCTGTTTGACAAGAGAGATGTATTTATCAGGGATGAGGCCCTCCTGGCCGTGACAACATCCCTCCCACCAGTCATTGGACACCTGGTTGTAGATGATTAGCGTGTCTCCCTTCTTGAACGTCAGCTCCCGCCCAGTGCGCCCCTCAAAGTCATACAATGCTGTTGCCTCCAGAAGATCAGGTTCTATGAAGAGAAAGATTCTGGTGACAAATCTTTTAATATTAACCAAATAGGCTAATTAATCTTTTACTGATAAATTATGGGTATATTTTCATTATTTCTGTTTCAATGATAAGCAGCAGAGAATGCCAGTTACTTAATATAGAGTCATTGACTTGAATGACAGGAATTTGTCAAATCACATACGATCAAATCATGTCCCTCAACCAATTTACTTCCTGAAAATATTGAGAAATTGTTATGTTGTTCCAGTTAAAGCCACAAATTGTCATGGTAAGGTAGACACAGACGAAAGTAGTTATTTGTCTATCTACATGACTACTTCTACTCCAGGCTTGTCATTCTAATCAACCAGGTCATACACTATGGGGTAAGCTTGACAATCTAGAAACCGCCCTAGTCAGCGGCATCTGTCTGACACTCTGCACACGAGTACTGCAATGTACATCATTGATACATCGTACACTTTATCCTCTCACGTAGCAAGTTTAGATACAACTCAACATTAATTGCAGACATGCATGTTATAAAGCTTCTGTTGGTGAATGATTTAGCAACAGGTGTGATCAAGTTGGCAATTACATGTGAAAAAAAACAAACAAAAAAACAAACAAAATAAATCTGCCATGCAAGTGAACAAAAGAAAACAGGTGATTGTTGGCACTATGACTATCACGACTCCCTCCTTACCACAAATGGATCCTGAAATATCAAATACCCAATGCAGACAGGGGAATCAGTAGTTTTTCAGAAGATTTGACCCAATAAGAACAATTCCGATCTATTTCTTGTTCCTTACATTAGCTAGCAAGGACACATTGGAACCATTGTTTCATTTGTGCAAAACAAAACTACGGTGACCAAACCAAAATTATTCAAAAACTTATTGAGTTTCAAAATGTTACATATAATCTAACGGAGAACTAAAGAAAAAATGGCGGTGAACAACTTCTTGAGTATGATTATTTTCTTTAATGGCCACCTAATTTTGGGAGATAGTTATCAGCTGTTAGGGTTTACACAAGTGGACACATCATGATGTCATCATCTAGGAAACCTGTTCGTGTAGGAATGGTATTGAATTAAAGTGAGCGTGCTTCATTTGAACTGGTGAGTTCCATAATGCTTCATGATTGCAGACAGAGAATTCTGTTAAATGAGAGCCTGTAGAAAGTGTAAGGCAATGATGATAGTGAGTGACCCCGACACACTCACCTTCCTCGTCACTGGGTATAGAGCTTGTCTCATCATCCTCGCCTGTGTCATTGGAGTTGTCCCTGAAACAGAACCACATGGTAAATATTGCTAGGTGGAGGAATTCTGCCCTCGGTCGTTTAACCTACTGGTTGGCATGGCATGCAAATATTGATCTGTTAAATTGCTTGAAGAACAGTAGGGGTCCCCAATAACATTCAGTTCCGTATCTATGAGTATCTCATGGTGACAAGAGTAAAGACATAACCCCATTGGTTTGTGACATTGCAACTTCTCAGTATGCACATCATGACGCCAACATTGTGTCCTGCACATGGCTCATATATCTCTACTTCACATTCACCTCCGCGTACCCGTGAATACACTTCTCATTCACCTCCACATACCCGTGAATACACTTCTCATTCACCTCCACGTACCCGTGAATACACTACTCATACACCTCCATGTACCCGTGAATACACTTCTCATACACCTCCACGTACCCGTGAATACACTACTCATACACCTCCATGTACCCGTGAATATACTTCTCATACACCTCCACGTCCCCGTGAATACACTTCTCATACACCTCCACGTCCCCGTGAATACACTTCTCATACACCTCCATGTACCCGTGAATACACTTCTCATACACCTCCACGTCCCCGTGAATACACTTCTCATACACCTTCATGTACCCATGAATACACTTCTCATACACCTCCATGTACCTGTGAATACACTACTCATACACCTCCATGTACCCGTGAATACACTTCACATACACCTCCACGTACCCGTTTATACACTCCTCATACACCTCCACGTACCCGAGAATACACTTTTCATACACCTCTCCGCCATCATTGGGGAACAGCTCCTCCTGGTGAGTGATGATGGTCTTGATGATCTCGTTGACAGAGCCCTGGAAGGATACCTGGTCTCGGTCAGGCGGGATGGGCAGGAGGGTCGGGCCAAAGCAGATGGCCAGGTTGTATGGATCCATCATATTTTCATCACTGTACTCTGATAAGCTGGAACACAACGCGGGCTTAATACATTTTTGCTGCAACCATCATATTTTACCCTGTTTTTAAGGGTTTCAAAAGAGTGAGTGAGTGGGTTTGGTTTTAAGCAGCTTTTAGCAATATGTCAGCAATATCGAGGCAGGGGACACCACATTGTGGGCTCCACACTTTGTACCCATGTTATGAATCGGCGTGACGAGCGAACGCTTTAACCACAAGGCTACCCTACTGCCCAGTTTCAATAGATAGTAGCATATCTTGGACTCACTGGTTAAGGAAGGCAAATAGATATCGCATGACAATGATGATACATCTTGGAAGGGTGCTCAGGAGATCTCGCAGCCTCTCGACACGGCGGCTTGTTTCCTCACCTACAATGTCAGACATGGAACAATATCAAAACAAATAAAGTCCTAGATCCTTGTCTGAAGTGTTCAGATTTAAAAAGTAGCTAAGTGTACAACTTACGTGTGCAGGAAACTAGCTCCTCAAACAGGTGCAGTGGGAACAGTGGCTCTCGGAGCTCCCTGAAGTACAATTTGAGAACCCCAGCAACAGAATTGATGTCACTTGAGTCCATAACGTCAATCAGGGCATCTTCACCTAAACATAGGAAGAAATCCATACACAACTCTATCTTGCAGCACCCTGACTACTCCAAGTATCCTACACAACCAACATGTCAAGATCAGAGATGTGACCCGTGACCAGCATGTCTAGATCAGAGATGTGACCACCATGTCCAGATCAGAGATGTGACCACCATGTCCAGATCAGAGATGTGACCACCATGTCTAGATCAGAGATGTGACCACCATGTCTAGATCAGAGATGTGACCACCATGTCTAGTTCAGAGATGTGACCACCATGTCTAGATCAGAGATGTGACCACCACAACTAGTTCAGAGATGTGACCAGCATGTCTAGATCAGAGATGTGACCAGCATGTTTAGATCAGAGATGTGACCACCATGTCTAGTTCAGAGATGTGACCACCATGTCTAGACCAGAGATGTGACCACCACAACTAGTTCAGAGATGTGACCAGCATGTCTAGATCAGAGATGTGACCACCACAACTAGTTCAGAGATGTGACCAGCATGTCTAGATCAGAGATGTGACCAGCATGTTTAGATCAGAGATGTGACCACCACAACTAGTTCAGAGATGTGACCACCATGTCTAGATCAGAGATGTGACCACCATGTCTAGTTCAGAGATGTGGCCACCATAACTAGTTCAGAGATGTGACCACCATGTCTAGTTCAGAGATGTGGCCACCATAACTAGTTCAGAGATGTGACCAGCATGTCTAGATCAGAGATGTGACCACCACAACTAGTTCAGAGATGTGACCACCATGTCTAGTTCAGAGATGTGACCTCCATGTCTAGATCAGAGATGTGACCAGCATGTTTAGATCAGAGATGTGACCACCACAACTAGTTCAGAGATGTGACCACCATGTGTAGATCAGAGATGTGACCAGCATGTCTAGATCAGAGATGTGACCACCATGTCTAGATCAGAGATGTGACCAGCATTAATGAATAGATCAACTTTAGGCAACCAAAACATAAAAAGGGGTTCTTATTCTTATCCTTTCCTTATTTCTTCTCTGTATCATATGGTTTACAGATTGACAACAATTCTTGTATGAGCAACTTGCACCAACTTTATGCAAAGTGATGAAAATACTCGCAACAAGTAGAATATCACCATACACCAGTAATGCCCCTTTACTGCATCCCAAGATGATGGGTAAATCAATGAGCCCGATGTCCTAAGAAAGGAAATATGACTAAAAATATAGCAGAAACTGTACATAAGCTTAGATTCTTAAAAAAACATGTACTTCTGGCCATATATTACAATGATTCTTGAATTATTTCCCTTTGCATGTTAAGGAAAGGTGATTTGACAGCCAGTGCCCCCTTCAACCAGCTTAACACAGCATCCAAACAGGTGAGAGGCCTCACAAACACTGCTGAAGGACTTAGGTAGACCAATCATAAATCAGCAGTCACACACATCTGTAAACTGGAAATCACCAGGTTCATGCACATCATATTAAATTGAGTCCCAATCCCAAGCCCAAAATGTGTCATGATATTAATGTGAGTGTCCCTTCTTTTGAAATGCAACAGCTAGTGAGTAAACAACAACAGAAGATGTCTGTGATGTGATGTTGTAGCAGTTACCACAGCTTCTCCCTCTTCCCAACAACAAGGAAAACAAGAGCAGGACATTCCAAATATATCCTATTCAGGTGAGATAGGTCAAGTCAGCCGACAGAATGTTAAAGTGTTGTGTCACACGTTAGCTCAAATCTTTGAACTTACATGAACACATATATGTCTTCAGTATGACTGCTGTTACTGGATATCTTCTCCACATGGGAGTCAAGTGTTTTGCTTCTAATGATAAGATTATTTGACCAGGTTGCCATACTGCCAGACTGTCATAACTGCTTGATCAATTTGCAACCTCTGTAAACAAACTGACCACGCTTGACCTGACACTTCGTGAGTAGCACTAAATCTGGCACTAAACTATTTGGAGACCATAGATAAGTCAAATTTTGTACACACGTTCTGCCAATCTACCGATGTTTGAGTTAAAACATACCCATATTATATAACGGAAAAGAATTTTGATGCAATGATCGGAAAAAATAATATCTTTAATTACTATTTTACTACGAATAATATATTCTTATCTCATGTTTTTTTAATTGCAGGTTTTACTATATATCTTTAAAATAATGATAACCATGACCTGGAGTATGCGATAGCACTATTTTGTATTGTCGGATACTTTTTTCGCCTGGAACAATTATTTGACAAATCATCGTTGAGGTTTTGTGCGATCTCGCAGAAACAATATGTTGACATTTAATTGTCAATCTACAACAAATATTACTATTATCGATTCAAAGTATGGCAGTTATGATATAGGTATCCGTTGTCTGTCAACTAAGGTTCTTTTCAAGGTGACAATATATTCCAATATTTCCAGATATTAATGCTAGCAAGGAGAATTTGCATTTTTCACATTATTTTCATTCTTGTATTAATTTCATGATTCCCAGTATCCTAGCTACTTCAGGTGAGGTCTATGCTTCAAACAGGCTTACCTGTTTCAAAGGTGTTCTTGAATTGATTGATGTCCAGCTGTGCTCCGGACACTCTGAAAATTCCCTGGTGGTGCATACCTGCAATACAGATACTGCTGCTCTACACATCATACTCAACCAGCATACTGCAGTACAGCCAGCATGGCTCCATACATCATACTCAATCAACATATTGCAGTACAGCCAGCATGGCTCCATACATCATACTCAATCAACATATTGCAGTACAGCCAGCATGGCTCCATACATCATACTCAATCAACATATTGCAGTACAGCCAGCATGGCTCCATACATCATACTCAATCAACATATTGCAGTACAGCCAGCATGGCTCCATACATCATACTCAATCAACATATTGCAGTACAGCCAGCATGGCTCCATACATCATACTCAACCAGCATACTGCAGTACAGCCAGCATGGCTCCATACATCATACTCAATCAACATATTGCAGTACAGCCAGCATGGCTCCATACATCATACTCAATCAACTTATTGCAGTACAGCCAGCATGGCTCCATACATCATACTCAATCAACATATTGCAGTACAGCCAGCATGGCTCCATCCATCATACTCAATCAACATATTGCAGTACAGCCAGCATGGCTCCATACATCATACTCAATCAACATATTGCAGTACAGCCAGCATGGCTCCATACATCATACTCAATCAACATATTGCAGTACAGCCAGCATGGCTCCATACATCATACTCAATCAACATATTGCAGTACAGCCAGCATGGCTCCATACATCATACTCAACCAGCATACTGCAGTACAGCCAGCATGGCTCCATACATCATACTCAATCAACATATTGCAGTACAGCCAGCATGGCTCCATACATCATACTCAATCAACTTATTGCAGTACAGCCAGCATGGCTCCATACATCATACTCAATCAACATATTGCAGTACAGCCAGCATGGCTCCATACATCATACTCAACCAGCATACTGCAGTACAGCCAGCATGGCTCCATACATCATACTCAATCAACATATTTCAGTACAGCCAGCATGGCTCCATACATCATACTCAATCAACATATTGCAGTACAGCCAGCATGGCTCCATACATCATACTCAATCAACATATTGCAGTACAGCCAGCATGGCTCCATACATCATACTCAACCAGCATACTGCAGTACAGCCAGCATGGCTCCATACATCATACTCAATCAACATATTGCAGTACAGCCAGCATGGCTCCATACATCATACTCAATCAACTTATTGCAGTACAGCCAGCATGGCTCCATACATCATACTCAATCAACATATTGCAGTACAGCCAGCATGGCTCCATCCATCATACTCAACCAGCATACTGCAGTACAGCCAGCATGGCTCCATACATCATACTCAATCAACATATTGCAGTACAGCCAGCATGGCTCCATACATCATACTCAATCAACATATTGCAGTACAGCCAGCATGGCTCCATACATCATACTCAATCAACATATTGCAGTACAGCCAGCATGGCTCCATACATCATACTCAATCAACATATTGCAGTACAGCCAGCATGGCTCCATACATCATACTCAACCAGCATACTGCAGTACAGCCAGCATGGCTCCATACATCATACTCAATCAACTTATTGCAGTACAGCCAGCATGGCTCCATACATCATACTCAATCAACATATTGCAGTACAGCCAGCATGGCTCCATCCATCATACTCAACCAGCATACTGCAGTACAGCCAGCATGGCTCCATACATCATACTCAATCAACATATTGCAGTACAGCCAGCATGGCTCCATACATCATACTCAATCAACATATTGCAGTACAGCCAGCATGGCTCCATACATCATACTCAATCAACATATTGCAGTACAGCCAGCATGGCTCCATACATCATACTCAATCAACATACTGCAGTACAGCCAACATGGCTCTATACATCATACTCAATCAACATATTGCAGTACAGCCAGCATGGCTCCATACATCATACTCAATCAACATATTGCAATACAGCCAGCATGGCTCCATACATCATACTCAATCAACATATTGCAGTACAGCCAGCATGGCTCCATCCATCATACTCAACCAACATATTGCAGTACAGCCAGCATGGCTCCATACATCATACTCAATCAACATACTGCAGTACAGCCAACATGGCTCTATACATCATACTCAATCAACATATTGCAGTACAGCCAGCATGGCTCCATACATCATACTCAACCAACATATTGCAGTACAGCCAGCATGGCTCCATACATCATACTCAATCAACATATTGCAGTACAGCCAGCATGGCTCCATACATCATACTCAATCAACATATTGCAGTACAGCCAGCATGGCTCCATACATCATACTCAATCAACATATTGCAGTACAGCCAGCATGGCTCCATACATCATACTCAACCAACATATTGCAGTACAGCCAGCATGGCTCCATACATCATACTCAATCAACATATTGCAGTACAGCCAGCATGGCTCCATACATCATACTCAATCAACATATTGCAGTACAGCCAGCATGGCTCCATACATCATACTCAATCAACATATTGCAGTACAGCCAGCATGGCTCCATACATCATACTCAATCAACATACTGCAGTACAGCCAGCATGGCTCCATACATCATACTCAACCAACATATTGCAGTACAGCCAGCATGGCTCCATACATCATACTCAATCAACATACTGCAGTACAGCCAGCATGGCTCCATACATCATACTCAATCAACATACTGCAGTACAGCCAGCATGGCTCCATACATCATACTCAATCAACATATTGCAGTACAGCCAGCATGGCTCCATACATCATACTCAATCAACATACTCAGGCTGAACATTCAACGCAGGCTGACCACTCCATACAGGCTGACCACTCAACACAGGCATCACTATTCTCACCATACAGGTTGACGACTCGTATACAGCTGCGAATGATGCGAGGAATATCCACATTCAGGGCCTCACAGTACTCCTCAAGGCTCCCCCCGAACAACTTCGGCTGGCCAACTGGGGGGGTTCTACCTATGCGCCGTTTCTGAGGTTTGGGTGGGAGAGCAGGTGGTCTGAAATAAACCAAAAACACTCATGTATCTTACACTGATCACCTCTAAATACACTTCTGATAGTGTCTCCACAATAACCACTCACATATCTTACACTGATCACCTCTAAATACACTTCTGATAGTGTCTCCACAATAACCACTCACATATCTTACACTGAATGTCCTCTAAATACACTTCTGATAGTGTCTCCACAATAACCACTCACATATCTTGCACTGAATGTCCTCTAAATACACTTCTGATAGTGTCACCGCAATAACCACTCACATATCTTACACTGAATGTCCTCTAAATACACTTCTGATAGTGTCTCCACAATAACCACTCACATATCTTACACTGAATGTCCTCTAAATACACTTCTGATAGTGTCTCCACAATAACCACTCACATATCTTACACTGAATGTCCTCTAAATACACTTCTGATAGTGTCTCCACAATAACCACTCACATATCTTACACTGAATGTCCTCTAAATACACTTCTGATAGTGTCTCCACAATAACCACTCACATATCTTACACTGATCACCTCTAAATACACTTCTGATAATGTCACCACAATAACCACTCACATATCTTACACTGAATGTCCTCTAAATACACTTCTGATAGTGTCACCACAATAACCACTCACATATCTTACACTGAATGTCCTCTAAATACACTTCTGATAGTGTCACCACAATAACCACTCACATATCTTACACTGAATGTCTTCTAAATACACTTCTGATAGTGTCTCCACAATAACCACTCACATATCTTACACTGAATGTCCTCTAAATACACTTCTGATAGTGTCTCCACAATAACCACTCACATATCTTACACTGAATGTCCTCTAAATACACTTCTGATAGTGTCACCACAATAACCACTCACATATCTTACACTGAATGTCTTCTAAATACACTTCTGATAGTGTCTCCACAATAACCACTCACATATCTTACACTGAATGTCCTCTAAATACACTTCTGATAGTGTCTCCACAATAACCACTCACATATCTTACACTGAATGTCCTCTAAATACACTCCTGATAGTGTCTCCACAATAACCACTCACATATCTTACACTGAATGTCCTCTAAATACACTTCTGATAGTGTCTCCACAATGACCACCATCTTCCATTGCATGACCACACCCTTCCACCCATGTTGCCTCACTCCTGACCCCTGACCTTAGGTGAGATAAGACAAGATAGACTTTCTTATAATGAATTCTTAATGAAGCTGTACATGTAATGTTGATTGAACCAGTCTAGAGTTTCAAGTGCCGCTCATGATAACGTTAACTAAACTATATTCAGTAATACAATGCATAAAGGAATTAACTCATGTATCCATAATAGTTAGACAGAAAACATTATTTCTTTTTATGTTACAAGCATCAGGAAGTAAACAATGCATATAAAACGATCAATAATAATTTTCAGTAGCAATTTTGTTATAGTTAGTCCGATTTTATTTACATTCGAGCACTTTTCAAGAACTGCCAAAAACATTCCAGCACTTAGATGGTAAAATGTCAGAATGAAGCACCTTTCAATCAGACATGGTCAAATTCAAGCATGTTTCAAATCTGTGCGAACCCTGGGAGAATAATGCAGGACTGTTGTCATTTAGGATTTAATGGGCTTATTTCATAATTTGTTCTTCTTAATACATGCCTAGGCTAGGCAAAAATCCAGTAATATTATTTGCATTATTTACAATTTTCATTATTCTATTTTTGTTTTGAATGATCTGATTCCCATACAAGCAGTGGAAATTGAAAGATAGAATGCTCTGTACAGTATGATGACAGTAGCAGGGTACTTACCGTATATCGCCGTCTATAAGCACCCCAGGTATAAGGCGTCCCCCTTTAAAGCCCCCTAATTCTAGGTACAAAAAACTTGCCTTATACACAGCAATATACTGTATACTCTTCTACAATATCCATTTCTTCATTATAAACTGCAACTCAATTTAACTCTTTCAACACCAGTCAACCAAAACTTGACAATTTTCGGCAAATATAAGATTCAATAAAATCCACTTACCTATTTCTGTTTTATTTTCATTGTTTACGTAGTTGGAAAATCATTTTAAAAAGAATTATAAATAGTATCTTTCATCACCCATTTCCCGATAACAGCGGCTGTCCGCTCAGTAACATGAAGAAATACCCCCGTTTTCGAGTCTGCATATGAATAACACATTCGTCGAAGACTGGCATACGACACATCGCTAGAAAGCTTATTCCTTCATCTACACGCTCATAACATTGCCTGGAGTTTTTCCATAGTTATAACATGTGATTTCATTGGATAAAACTTGGTTTCTAATGACGCTTTCTTGCCGAAATCTGCTACAAGGTTCGTGATTGGTCAAATTTGAGTACGTGACCTAAGGCAGCCAATCAAATCACAGCTATGCTACCGCCTCGTGTATATTATAAATTTCAGAAGTTGACAAAAGACTTTTGTTAAATCGTGTTATTCTGAAAGTTTTAAGCAGGAAATCATGATATATATAAAAACGAAGGAACCTCGTGAATGTATTGTGCCAGGTTACGAGATGTGACAAAAAAAATTCATGCATATATATTTTTGCATTAAACATCGTGTCCAGGCCAAGAATTCAAGGAGACGAAAGATGTCATTTGACTTACATTATATGCGATCGCACGAAAAGATGGAAATAATATCTTAGATGTAAGCTTGACAACTTTTAGATATATATTTGTTGGTTTTATTTATTACTTTGTATAATATACGTAAAGATTTGCTTGAAATGTCTTTACTTTGCTCTTTTGACATGTTCCATGTGGACCAGTTGTGGAAGTGTGTGTCCGAGAAGCTTATTTTCAATAACACTGCGGGAAATAGTGAATAATTTTTTAATTTATCGATAAAAAATGATAAATTGAAATGGAATACGTATTTCAGACATTGTGAAATGGGATAGATTTAATAAATAAATGATATGACAGGTAGGTTCATAAAAATATATACTATTTTGACGTGACTACGGCTTGGCCGGTATACCGGCCTACAGTGTCTGGGGACTCGATGCTTCTTGGCCGGTATACCGGCCTACAGTGTCTGGGGACTCGATGCTTCTTGGCCGGTATACCGGCCTACGGTGTTGAAAGAGTAAAGGCTGGTTTCTTTCCTTGAAAATGTATAATCATTTCCTTTGCATTCTTTACCTTGTCACCCCAGACGATAGATCCTTTTCTCCCAAAGCTTTCTGTATTGCATTGTACTTGGACTGAAGGCGTGCCAGACGATTGCAGCTTAATGTATACTCCCGGAATTTCTGAAAACAAAATAGAAAACATACTTAAGGTACCGTATTTTCTTGAGTATAGTGCGCACATTTTTTCCCCAAAACACAGCTGTGTAGAAGGGGGTGCGCATTATACACGAATTAATGAGTTTTGATGTTTTTTCCCCCATGGAAAGACATTACCGTGAGCACGTAACACCGGAAATACCATGTCAACAAATCCACACTGAAGTTCGCAAATTATTCATGTAATTACACTGTCTGGCTATAAAAAGTGTTCTTTGTATATCTGGACTTATGTTTGTAACTTATTTCATTAATTTTATTCAAAATTACTTTTAATATTGTTTTAATTAATTTCAGCGAAATAGTGTGTGAAGCGATCGGAAGATCGCACAACTCACCGCTGTTAACAGCAACCACGGTCAGATTACCGCTATTTACGCCTTGAAACGAACTTTAGTTGACAGAGAATGGATACATATATCATAAATGCCATACTTTGATTCGTTAAAAGTCATATTTGTTTTTGTTGGACGATTCTATGTCAACACGTAATTCTCGCGATCACGCGATCACGTGCACGGGAGCCTTGGTCAGACTGGTTCCATGTAAAAAATAATACCTGACAATAGCGATCAGCTGCTTCGCTTAGGGTTATTATTATTTTAAATATGTTTAGTAAAAGCTGCTTCTAAATTAACAAGATATTGGAATATATATTATTTCCGATAAAAAAATAGTTTCAGATACAACTTTTGACCCCTGGATATAAAACAATGCCTAGCTGAACAAAAAATACAATTTAAACGGTAAATCAACATGTCTGGTGATTTTTTATCCCAAATTTCGAATTTGTACTGACAAAGTTTCTCATCACCCGTTTGTTTGCCGGACTTCGCTGAAAGGGGTTCTTTTTTTCAAAATATTGAACCCGCTAGAGGGGGGTGCGCATTATACATGGGTGCGCACTATACTCAAGAAAATACGGTAAGTGGATGTGATTTGATTTGGTTTGGTTTGACTGACAAGAAGTCCTGCTCTTTATATTAATCTGCTTACAGTGTGTGTGCTGTGACAATACAGATAGAGATGGCAAGTGCAGCAGTGCCCCGTGACACATAGCGATGGTAGCGCAACAACAGTCGTAAGTCGTAACAGTCGTAAGTCGTATATGTTAAAGTATAGGAGTTACGATCACCTTAGTGCTACGATATCTTTGTTGAATGGACCCTAGCACCATAGAAGCAGGGACACACCCAATATCACTTACTGACAAATAGAATATTTCTGTCTCTTGACGATCATTTCGATATTTAGCATCTTCATGTGGTGACTTGGGTGGTGGATTCTCATCTCGGAAAAACTTTGACACATCATAGTCCTTCACTTGTATAAGATCAACAAGAGCTCTTTCTGTTGTCTCCAATGTCTTCCAAATCTGAAAATATCAGGAGTTCAGGCTAATTTGTTAATAAAACTTTCATGATCAGTTTTTGTCCCCTTGGCGATCAAGAATTATGTTGATTCCAACCATCAGAGAATGTTTAAGTAAGACAGTCACAGATTCTCAGAACTGAGGGCAGGGCTCTATCTAAGGAACTTGACTTAACTTGCACCTAGTGTATGTTGGCATGAAAATCTAGTTGCACCGGACAAAACCAGGTTGCACTCTGGTCCCATAAATTTATCAAAGTTCAAACATTGATGTATAAACTAGTGTAAAAAAAGTGAAATCTCAGATCTCTCATGAATTGCACATAACACAGTAATTAGTCATGTAGTAGTATGGTAAATGATGTTTAGAGGTACAGAGTGTGTTCAAAGATAATAGAAAATCTGTTTGTTTTGTTTTGACATGCACTTGGTGCAAGTAGACCTTATGTAAGGTTGCATTGTTCATTTATAGGTTGCAAAGGTGCATGTTTTATACAGCTAAATCAAGCCCTAAGACATGACAGTAACTTAATGATTCCTCTTACATGTCTGGGCAGAAAGAAGAGATATGAGTAAGTAAATATTGTTTTATGCACATCAGCAATATTCCTGTCATATCACGATGGCCTGTAAATCACCACGTCAGAAGCAGGCAAACCACCGAGCTATGATCCACAGAGGGAGACAACGTCAAAATAAGTCGCTGTGAGACATGCCAGGCATTTTCTGCTGTAGTTTGAGACTGACCTCGTTATTCTCCGCAGTGAGAGATGCGAGCCGCTCCCCAATGCTCTGATGGCGCTGCACTAGGTCATCTTGTACAGGTTTTTGAGCACTGATCTGCCGAACCTGAAACACAGACCAAATGTAAATGTACAATATATGCAATGTACTTTTCATACAGTTATCACAGATAGTTATTACGGTCAGTAAATATTTTACGACAAGAACACTATTTTTGTTTGTTTTTTGTTGTTTATCGCTGAACTCAGCAATAGCCCAGCTATATGACGGCGGTCTGCACATAATCGAGTCTGGACCAGACAGTCCAGTGATTGACATCATGAGCATCGATATATGCAATTGGGATATGTTGACATGCATCAAACAAGTCAGCGGGCCTGACCACCCGATCCTGTTAGTTGCCTCTTACAACAAGCATGGGTTGCTGAAGGCCAATTCTAACCCAAATCTCCCTGAGCAATACATTACACACCTTTTGAAACAATTTAGAAAGAAAATACTCTCCAAATGATTAATAAAAATTTGTTGCTGACACAGTATACAGAGATTTTATAAAAAGTCTGAAACAAGAATAACAAGAGAGTTAACAACATTTATCTACCATTACTGCAATAGCATTGCGTATCATGAGATACTTGTTCTCACAGGTTAAATAACGACCACACAAACAGCAATTATAGAAGCACTCATAAAATATTCACATTCCTGAAACCACACTTCATAAACTCAGTTGACTGAAGTCTTAGCAGTCAGGCAAACGGAGAACAAAGACACCAGTTGGCTAGATGGCTAAATATGTATGAGTAGTCCTGATCTTACAGGCAATAAAGAAGTCTGTTGGATATCTGCGGGTGGATACTTTCAACAACCCGGATACCAGCTAGGCTACACAGACTCAAGGTGTGCCAACAGAAGGGGCAGGTTGTGAAGGGGGACAGGCTACACAGACTCAAGGTGTGCCAACAGAAGGGGCAGGTTGTGAAGGGGGACAGGCTACACAGACTCAAGGTGTGCCAACAGAAGGGCAGGTTGTGAAGGGGGACAGGCTACACAGACTCAAGGTGTGCCAACAGAAGGGGCAGGTAGTGAAGGGGGACAGGCTACACAGACTCAAGGTGAGCAAGGCTACACAGACTCAAGGTGTGCCAACAGAAGGGGCAGGTTGTGAAGGGGGACAGGCTACACAGACTCAAGGTGAGCAAGGCTACACAGACTCAAGGTGTGCCAACAGAAGGGGCAGGTTGTGAAGGGGGACAGGCTACACAGACTCAAGGTGTGCCAACAGAAGGGGCAGGTTGTGAAGGGGGACAGGCTACACAGACTCAAGGTGTGCCAACAGAAGGGGCAGGTTGTGAAGGGGGACAGGCTACACAGACTCAAGGTGTGCCAACAGAAGGGGCAGGTTGTGAAGGGGGACAGGCTACACAGACTCAAGGTGTGCCAACAGAAGGGGCAGGTTGTGAAGGGGGACAGGCTACACAGACTCAAGGTGTGCCAACAGAAGGGGCAGGTTGTGAAGGGGGACAGGCTACACAGACTCAAGGTGTGCCAACAGAAGGGGCAGGTTGTGAAGGGGGACAGGCTACACAGACTCAAGGTGAGGCAACAGAAGGGGCAGGTTGTGAAGGGGGACAGGCTACACAGACTCAAGGTGTGCCAACAGAAGGGGCAGGTTGTGAAGGGGGACAGGCTACACAGACTCAAGGTGAGGCAACAGAAGGGGCAGGTTGTGAAGGGGGACAGGCTACACAGACTCAAGGTGTGCCAACAGAAGGGGCAGGTTGTGAAGGGGGACGGGCTACATAGACTCAAGGTGTGCCAACAGAAGGGGCAGGTTGTGAAGGGGGACAGGCTACACAGACTCAAGGTGTGCCAACAGAAGGGGCAGGTTGTGAAGGGGGACAGGCTACACAGACTCAAGGTGTGCCAACAGAAGGGGCAGGTTGTGAAGGGGGACAGGCTACACAGACTCAAGGTGTGCCAACAGAAGGGGCAGGTAGTGAAGGGGGACAGGCTACACAGACTCAAGGTGAGCAAGGCTACACAGACTCAAGGTGTGCCAACAGAAGGGGCAGGTAGTGAAGGGGGACAGGCTACACAGACTCAAGGTGTGCCAAAAGGAAGGGGCAGGTAGTGAAGGGGGACAGGCTACACAGACTCAAGGTGTGCCAAAAGGAAGGGGCAGGTTGTGAAGGGGGACAGGCTACACAGACTCAAGGTGTGCCAACAGAAGGGGCAGGTTGTGAAGGGGGGCAGGCTACACAGACTCAAGGTGAGGCAACAGAAGGGGCAGGTAGTGAAGGGGGACAGGCTACACAGACTCAAGGTGAGGCAACAGAAGGGGCAGGTAGTGAAGGGGGACAGGCTACACAGACTCAAGGTGAGCAAGGCTACACAGACTCAAGGTGTGCCAACAGAAGGGGCAGGTTGTGAAGGGGGACAGGCTACACAGACTCAAGGTGAGGCAACAGAAGGGGCAGGTAGTGAAGGGGGACAGGCTACACAGACTCAAGGTGAGGCAACAGAAGGGGCAGGTAGTGAAGGGGGACAGGCTACACAGACTCAAGGTGAGCAAGGCTACACAGACTCAAGGTGTGCCAACAGAAGGGGCAGGTTGTGAAGGGGGACAGGCTACACAGACTCAAGGTGTGCCAACAGAAGGGGCAGGTAGTGAAGGGGGACAGGCTACACAGACTCAAGGTGAGCAAGGCTACACAGACTCAAGGTGTGCCAACAGAAGGGGCAGGTAGTGAAGGGGGACAGGCTACACAGACTCAAGGTGTGCCAAAAGGAAGGGGCAGGTAGTGAAGGGGGACAGGCTACACAGACTCAAGGTGTGCCAAAAGGAAGGGGCAGGTTGTGAAGGGGGACAGGCTACACAGACTCAAGGTGTGCCAACAGAAGGGGCAGGTTGTGAAGGGGGGCAGGCTACACAGACTCAAGGTGAGGCAACAGAAGGGGCAGGTAGTGAAGGGGGACAGGCTACACAGACTCAAGGTGAGGCAACAGAAGGGGCAGGTAGTGAAGGGGGACAGGCTACACAGACTCAAGGTGAGGCAACAGAAGGGGCAGGTTGTGAAGGGGGACAGGCTACACAGACTCAAGGTGAGCAAGGCTACACAGACTCAAGGTGAGGCAACATAAGGGGCAGGTAGTGAAGGGGGACAGGCTACACAGACTCAAGGTGAGCAAGGCTACACAGACTCAAGGTGTGCCAACAGAAGGGGCAGGTTGTGAAGGGGGACAGGCTACACAGACTCAAGGTGTGCCAACAGAAGGGGCAGGTTGTGAAGGGGGACAGGCTACACAGACTCAAGGTGAGCAAGGCTACACAGACTCAAGGTGAGGCAACAGAAGGGGCAGGTAGTGAAGGGGGACAGGCTACACAGACTCAAGGTGAGCAAGGCTACACAGACTCAAGGTGTGCCAACAGAAGGGGCAGGTTGTGAAGGGGGACAGGCTACACAGACTCAAGGTGTGCCAACAGAAGGGGCAGGTTGTGAAGGGGGACAGGCTACACAGACTCAAGGTGAGCAAGGCTACACAGACTCAAGGTGAGGCAACAGAAGGGGCAGGTTGTGAAGGGGGACAGGCTACACAGACTCAAGGTGTGCCAAAAGGAAGGGGCAGGTAGTGAAGGGGGACAGGCTACACAGACTCAAGGTGAGGCAACAGAAGGGGCAGGTAGTGAAGGGGGACAGGCTACACAGACTCAAGGTGTGCCAACAGAAGGGGCAGGTTGTGAAGGGGGACAGGCTACACAGACTCAAGGTGTGCCAAAAGGAAGGGGCAGGTTGTGAAGGGGGACAGGCTACACAGACTCAAGGTGTGCCAAAAGGAAGGGGCAGGTTGTGAAGGGGGACAGGCTACACAGACTCAAGGTGTGCCAACAGAAGGGGCAGGTTGTGAAGGGGGACAGGCTACACAGACTCAAGGTGAGCAAGGCTACACAGACTCAAGGTGAGGCAACAGAAGGGGCAGGTTGTGAAGGGGGACAGGCTACACAGACTCAAGGTGTGCCAAAAGGAAGGGGCAGGTTGTGAAGGGGGACAGGCTACACAGACTCAAGGTGTGCCAACAGAAGGGGCAGGTAGTGAAGGGGGACAGGCTACACAGACTCAAGGTGTGCCAACAGAAGGGGCAGGTAGTGAAGGGGGACAGGCTACACAGACTCAAGGTGAGGCAACAGAAGGGGCAGGTTGTGAAGGGGGACAGGCTACACAGACTCAAGGTGAGCAAGGCTACACAGACTCAAGGTGAGGCAACAGAAGGGGCAGGTTGTGAAGGGGGACAGGCTACACAGACTCAAGGTGTGCCAACAGAAGGGGCAGGTTGTGAAGGGGGACAGGCTACACAGACTCAAGGTGTGCCAACAGAAGGGGCAGGTTGTGAAGGGGGACAGGCTACACAGACTCAAGGTGTGCCAACAGAAGGGGCAGGTTGTGAAGGGGGACAGGCTACACAGACTCAAGGTGAGCCAACAGAAGGGGCAGGTTGTGAAGGGGGACAGGGACTGCTTGAAGGCCCTAAACAAAGTGAAAACAGAATCAAATTCTGTGTCTGTATTTCCACTCCATGGCTTAACTGGAACAGTTATGAGTGTGCACGAGACAACACCAGCTAGGCTGTATTTAGTGTGCTTGGAATGTGCATGATATGAAATTTTGTCTGTTGATGTAACATGCTTGAATTATGTTGAGTATAGGCAGACACATTTGTTAAATACACAGCAACTTACACACACGTTACAAAAAGCATATTTGCATATTGTTTCTTATTGAAAGAAAATCTAATATTTGATCTTGATAGTGATATGGAACACTGTGTACACAACTAGTGATATGGAACACTGTGTACACAACTAATGATATGGAACACTGTATACACAACTAGTGATATAGAACACTGTGTACACAACTAGTGATATGGAACACTGTGTACACAGCTAGTGATATGGAACACTGTGTACACAACTAGTGATATGGAACACTGTGTACACAACTAGTGATATGGAACACTGTGTACACAGCTAGTGATATGGAACACTGTGTACACAACTAGTGATATGGAACACTGTGTACACAACTAGTGATATGGAACACTGTGTACACAGCTAGTGATATGGAACACTGTGTACACAGCTAGTGATATGGAACACTGTGTACACAACTAGTGATATGGAACACTGTGTACATGGCTAGTACTATGGAGCACTGTGTACACAGCTAGTGATATGGAACACTGTGTACATGGCTAGTACTATGGAGCACTTGGCAGACAGTGACCGCTGGCTAACATGTGTCATTCGTCCGGCTTCCTGGGCTGTTGAATGGGGGATCATAGCTTTATCCTACAGTATTGAATATTGGTTTCCACTCATGGCAGAGGAATCTTGGACTACTAGGCCTCCATAACAAAACAGGCTTTTTTACAGAGTTTACAATTCTAAAATAACTTTGTTTATACTAATTAACTCAGCTTTACCTGCCTGGATAGTGACAACGTGTAAGGAAGGGCTGGGACAGGTAACTAGGAACTCGGGTCAGTAGGGTATTGAGTAGGACCCGGGTACCCACAGGACTACACCGACCCGTGGTTAGTCACGTGATATATTGTTTAATGACATAAAGTATCTAAAACTCTATGTTGAAACTACAAGTCACTAATGTTCGCAGTTCTTCCTGACTACTACGCCCCTTCCTTCTGACTTTTATATGTTTGAATAAAAACAAAAATTCAGTCAACTTCAGTGTATCCACCATAACATTTCATACATGTATCTAAACACATTATGCCAGAGCTACGGTCAAACTTTTCCCAATCGGACAGTTTGTACCTACCTCTTGAGACCTACAGCGGTTACCCGGGTAGGGTCAGGTAATAGAGGGGTGGGTACCCGGGTAGTAAATTTGGACTCACCCCAGTCCTAGTGTAAGGATATCCACTTAAAATAGTCTTCTTCTACTAACCCTCAAAACATGAGACTGGTTGTGGCTGGTGGCAAGAGCCAAGTTACATCCCTGGCTACATCACCAGTGTTTCACAAATGTATCAGAGCTTCCTAAGATAACACACACTATAGAAAACATTACTGGTAATAAAGAGTAATGTTAATACTGAAATATGATTACTTAAGTCATATTATTAATGTAAATTGCTAAGCGTCAAGCCACAATACGTTAACAGAAGAATAACTGACAGTTCCATTTCTTTTATCCTTAATTTGTACAACAAGTTGAACATAAAGGGAGGACCAATCATAAGAGGGGACGTGTATCATGGCCAGTAGATATCTAAAGCTGCAGCTACAAAATCTACAAAATAAACAAAACCAACACAAGTCCTAAGAACGGGGACTAGGAGACATGGTAGACAGAAACAGTTTCACGGTAACAGAAACCAATGGTCAAAATGAAACAGGGGTCATGCAACAGGCAAATGACAACATGAGGGAAAGACAACAGAATTACTCACGGGGATTTGTATTTCTTTCACACCCTGAAGACCAATCAGATTATCTTCAGAATGTCACATGACTTAGCATCGTAATTCAACAGGTCACGTGACTAGTTCTCAAAGCCAAATTCATTTGTCTGTTTGTACTACAGCCAGCATATTACAAAGACTTTCTCCCAACTCAAACAGCAGTCTTCTTCATAGACTTACAGTACCTTATTCCAATAAGAGATGTAGACAATTAATTGTGCAGAAAAAGTCATTAGATGTTTTACATGCAAAGAAGCAACTTCAAACTATTGATTTAGTAGTGAGGGAAAATAGTATATATTAATACGAAAGTAATCTATTATTCGAACTGGGAATCTAGTGAAGCTGCGTGACTAGACTAGGATGTCAGTCAATGGTGATGATGACAGATGAGGCCTGATCTTGGGCCAAGACGCCTCATCACAACTTTCAGTTGGCACATCCTGATGTTGGCTTTGTGTTTAAATCATGAAACTAACAGGAGACTAGCACATACAAAACTGAATGGTACTTTCATAATTATTGGCATAAAATATATTGCCTAGCAACTAAAATGGCTTTGACAGAAATTGCAATTGTAACTACAAATAGAACGAAACATATATTTCAGTTGAAATGAAGACCATGAAGCATAGAACATTTGACACAGCAAATTGATGTTTATTTGCTGTGTGTTTGACAACCCTGGTCATCGTAGCACAACAGCAAGAAGAACACCATCACTGGCACCACCACGGAGAGGGGAAAAAGAAACAATGTCATCCAACATGTCCTTCCTCAAACCAGTCCCACCTAAAAACAATTCCCTTTTCACAATTCTGTTTGTTTCATATTAATTCAATTTTCAGTTCCTACCAGACGAGAATGTTCCTTTCCTATGTAGAATGACAATACAAAAGGGCTTACTGGTGCTACGTACAACACACCATTAGCTTGATACAATTGACCCAACACCCATCTATGCAGGTCTATGCTTAGGAATTATGTTTTCAGCATATTTTCTCCAAATGATATATGTTATATCCTAAAACTTGTATTAGATACAATTCTGCCTTGTGAAATCCATATCTGATATGGATGCTATGGCCGCTGCAGTCTGTGACTTCATCACACAAAAGGTCTCTTGAAAGAATGCATGATCATAGTGCACTAACCTCATCTCCCTTGAAGGGTTGGAACTCAAATTTCTTGGGTAGCATGAACATTTGATTATTCAGCTCCATGAACTTCTGCTTATCTGCCCTTGAGTCAAGGTCTGAGATGTTCTTGTTGATGGACTCAATGGCTGACTGGTGCGTCTGCTTCAGTTGTTCGTGTACTGAGAGGTACATCATCATAGTTCGTCCTACAGAGTTGTGGTAGCCAAAGTCCATGCACTGAAACAAGGGAGAATTATACTCATCATCTCCAACTACTGGAAACAAATCCTTATTAGAGTTGTACCCTTCTGATGAGTCACACTGCTGAACACTGGGTATGGCTTCAAACATGACAGAATACATAAAGTTGTCATAACATATGTTTTTCCATATTCTAGGACATACCAAACAATAACTGATCCACATGAACAACATTGTCCACTGCCTCCAGTTCACAACACCATTAACATCACACAACACCATCAACGTTACTCAACACCATCAACATCACCATCAACATCACACAACACAGTATAGCAGCTGTTTGTGGCATCTCTTTTATTGCCTCAACAGTTCCTCACATATTTTTCAACAAAAAGTTATCTGACTAAATGAGTGTCCATGACAGCATGAAGACACTGGTTTTCCTCTGGAGAAAGCCCTAACAACCCTTTGCAACTATTTAGGGTCTACATGTTTCACAAACACATGCAAATGATCAGGTTCAGAATGACTGAAATAAAATAGTTGACTTATACCCAGCTTGGATATAATAATTTGTTTTGTTTTCATGTTTTCAGAATTTACTTTGTAATATTCATCCCATCTGAGTGCCATGTTCTACAAAGCTGTACGTCTGCTAGGCTCTATGTTGAAAGGTGATGACTCACCACAAGAAATATTTAGAGGGTGAACGATGGCCTTCATGGAAGTAAATGCTGTCACTCCTGTAATCATTGGTGCCTCAAGTAGCACCATTCTACATAGGAGGCCACACGAGCTTGTCAGGTGTTGTGACAAGCTGGGACATGGGGGTGGGGAGAATTCTAACAGGAAGATGCAACCTGCTGTTCCCCCTGACACACACTTCTTCTATCTATCAGCCACACAAAAACACACACACATTGGTCAGAGGAGAAGCAATCAATTTCTCTGCTGTCAAGAAATTTAGATTTAGATATTACGTAAACTTTTCCCTGCTACATTCGTACAACAAAACAATACTATCACAAACACCTTACAAAGATAAAGAATATCATATCAAATATGTTCTCTATCATGGAATATAGAATACTCCAGCAAAAAAATAGGTTTCTGCCTGCAATATTCTCCTGCGCTGACTGTCAGAGTGTGGTTACCATGATCTCAGTTTGGGTTAAATTTGGCCCAAGTTTACAGAAAACCCCACTGTGAAGATGTCTCACATTACACATCTCATAGCTGCAGAGTAGAGGCACTGGCCCAACTAAGAGTTTTACCCACCATCTGCAAATACAATGTCCACAACTATTTGAAAGATTTCAGAAAAAAAATTATAATGATTGCAATTTACTTGGAGGCATCTAAACATTCAATCTGAATGTTGTTATACACTGCACTGGAGTAATAGTGTTGAATGGAGGGCATGAGTGTTGAATGGACTGCATGAGTGTAGAATGGAGTGCAAGAGCGTTGAATGGAGTGCATGAGTGTTGAAGGCTTGACTTAAGAGAGAGGATATCGCCAGGGTTGTGGTTTTCACACCAGTAGGGCACAAGAAACACTCTGGCACTGTTACTTGCTTGTAACATTCATCCAGATAAGTGTAAGCCATGTGGAGGTGCATGACTTGGTGTATCTCCTCACTGTCACAGACAGATAAGTGTAAGCCATGTGGAGGTGCATGACCTGGTGTATCTCCTCACTGTCACAGACAGATAAGTGTAAGCCATGTGGAGGTGCATGACCTGGTGTATCTCCTCACTGTCACAGACAGATAGGTGTAAGCCATGTGGAGGTGCATGACCTGGTGTATCTCCTCACTGTCACAGACAGATAAGTGTAAGCCATGTGGAGGTGCATGACCTGGTGTATATCCTCACTGTCACAGACAGATAAGTGTAAGCCATGTGGAGGTGCATGACTTGGTGTATCTCCTCACTGTCACAGACAGATAAGTGTAAGCCATGTGGAGGTGCATGACCTGGTGTATCTCCTCACTGTCACAGACAGATAAGTGTAAGCCATGTGGAGGTGCATGACTTGGTGTATCTCCTCACTGTCACAGACAGATAAGTGTAAGCCATGTGGAGGTGCATGACCTGGTGTATCTCCTCACTGTTACAGACAGATAAGTGTAAGCCATGTGGAGGTGCATGACCTGGTGTATCTCCTCACTGTCACAGACAGATAAGTGTAAGCCATGTGGAGGTGCATGACCTGGTGTATCTCCTCACTGTCACAGACAGATAAGTGTAAGCCATGTGGAGGTGCATGACCTGGTGTATCTCCTCACTGTCACAGACAGATAAGTGTAAGCCATGTGGAGGTGCATGACCTGGTGTATCTCCTCACTGTCACATACAGATAAGTGTAAGCCATGTGGAGGTGCATGACCTGGTGTATCTCCTCACTGTCACAGACAGATAAGTGTAAGCCATGTGGAGGTGCATGACCTGGTGTATCTCCTCACTGTCACAGACAGATAAGTGTAAGCCATGTGGAGGTGCATGACTTGGTGTATCTCCTCACTGTCACAGACAGATAAGTGTAAGCCATGTGGAGGTGCATGACCTGGTGTATCTCCTCACTGTCACAGACAGATAAGTGTAAGCCATGTGGAGGTGCATGACTTGGTGTATCTCCTCACTGTCACAGACAGATAAGTGTAAGCCATGTGGAGGTGCATGACCTGGTGTATCTCCTCACTGTCACAGACAGATAAGTGTAAGCCATGTGGAGGTGCATGACTTGGTGTATCTCCTCACTGTCACAGACAGATAAGTGTAAGCCATGTGGAGGTGCATGACCTGGTGTATCTCCTCACTGTCACAGACAGATAAGTGTAAGCCATGTGGAGGTGCATGACCTGGTGTATCTCCTCACTGTCACAGACAGATAAGTGTAAGCCATGTGGAGGTGCATGACCTGGTGTATCTCCTCACTGTCACAGACAGATAAGTGTAAGCCATGTGGAGGTGCATGACCTGGTGTATCTCCTCACTGTCACAGACAGATAAGTGTAAGCCATGTGGAGGTGCATGACCTGGTGTATCTCCTCACTGTCACAGACAGATAAGTGTAAGCCATGTGGAGGTGCATGACCTGGTGTATCTCCTCACTGTCACAGACAGATAAGTGTAAGCCATGTGGAGGTGCATGACCTGGTGTATCTCCTCACTGTCACAGACAGATAAGTGTAAGCCATGTGGAGGTGCATGACCTGGTGTATCTCCTCACTGTCACAGACAGATAAGTGTAAGCCATGTGGAGGTGCATGACCTGGTGTATCTCCTCACTGTCACAGACAGATAAGTGTAAGCCATGTGGAGGTGCATGACCTGGTGTATCTCCTCACTGTCACAGACAGATAAGTGTAAGCCATGTGGAGGTGCATGACCTGGTGTATCTCCTCACTGTTACAGACAGATAAACATATAGTAATCCGTAAAACACAGGTTATCACACAAGTGTGTTTTGGGATAGTAAATATCCTGTATTAAGAATAAACATTGATTGTATTTATCAAGCATTGGTGAGCTAAGTACATAGTGTATATTCCAAATAAGAGTTATTTACCATCAGAAAAACACAGAAGCATGATAACCTCCTTATTATATAGTGTCTTTGAAAAAAAACTCTCACAAATGGTACCTAGACATTGCCAGATTTCCTGGAATAGGTGCATTAATATATAACATCACAGGCTGAGTGACTAGTCAGACTGTGCCAACAGGTTAAATTGTTCCAACTGAAACTTGTATTTAAGACAGTGGCCTAACTACCATATAGCCAAAATTTGTCATTTCATAAACGCACAAAAAATAACTTTGTCAGTGAACATCTTTCGTGGCAATCCACTTCTCTAGCATCTGTTACATCACATTTGTTTAGAGTCTGCAAGGTCAATTTATGTTGTGACAACCTGACGAAATGCAGTCATATGTCCCCACACAGCCACAAGATGAAACAAAGTAAAATTTGGGTCCAAAGTTGCCTACACATGTAAAAGGTCTTAGCTACACCACAGATTTCCATATCTTGGACTATTTCTTTTGACAATTATAACAATTATCCCAGTAATTTGTCCAGATCCCCGGTGGTCAAATCTGACTCAATATCAGAGGGTCAAGGGCAATGCCATGTTGTTAGTAAACACTGAAAGTAGGACCTACCTGATCACTTTTATTAGTATATATATATCTGTAAATGATCCCAACGGATACTGTTTTTATTTGTTGGGTTTATCCTGTCATGAAATAGTGCACTTTCGTGACTTACGTCCATTAGGTCTGAGATGTCGTCGGAGAAGTACTTGGTGATGGCAGAGTTGGCGCCTTCAATACAGAGCAGGTAGTCGTTCCGGGCTTTCAGCGACTTCAACTTGTTCTCAGAGTATTTAGACTGACGCTGCAAAATAAAATCTTGCACATTAATTGTAATTCATTTACTACTACAACACACCCACATACATGCACCCACATGGCAACACACATGTACCCACATGGCAACATGAGGTGTTACATGGTGACTAGAACCATGGACAGGGCAAATCATGCTCTCCTAACAACTGCATGTCTATGTATTGTACAACACTTGGAACTTGAGTCTTTGACCAGTGTACATGAACCTTTTTCCCTGTAGCTGTCAGGGAGATGTTCAACAGCTCTCTGCTTACTAGAACAGGGTGTGCCTGTTGGTTTGCTTCACAATTATCACAACATCTTACAAGATTACTTAAGCTACATAGAAAGAAGATCCAATGATGATTCCTGTCAGTTGAAACTAGACAACAAAACACACTTGTGAGGTGATGGCTGGTTTCTAGACAGTGTTCGAAATAACTGCCTGCCTGCCCGCCTGCCCATGGCTGGTAACTTTTCTGTCGGGCTGCATGAAATTTGCCTCCACCTGCCCAACTGTCTTGCAGATAATTTTAAGACTACTTACAATTCAGATTAATTATAACTCCTTGAAGATTCTCAAGTGATTGTTTGCATTATTTCAACTGAATCAAAGCATGATTTGTCTCTTAATGTCTGAATCCAGGGATGTAAATTTGAAGATGGGCAGGCAACACTTGTGGGTCACCTGCCCGACTGTCTTTTTGGGTCCTAAAATTATTTCAAACACTGTTTCTGGATAATAACCAAACACTGTTTCTGGATAATAACCGAGCACTGTTTACATCAACCTGAAATAATTATAATCTGTTGAGACATCTTGTTTTTTATGGTTGAAGTGCATACAAATGCAAGCTTCAGTCAGAACATTCTGTTTAATTTGGAATAATTATTTCAATTTCTTTATCTTATTCATGGACGCTATTTAATCAAAATGCACTCATTGGAACTGAAGTTGTGCTACTGGCTGTACAACTGATAATGGGTCGCTTCTTAAGCTTCCGACTTTGGGCAATATTTTAATGATGCAAAATCTTTCTCTCATTTCTTGAGCCATTATAAAAAACAGAGACCATATCAACTAGCAAAACTTGTAAGGAATGCTTTGAAACCTATAGAAATGTTATTTTATGGCTAAGAAGCTGCATGTGATGTCATGCCAGGCTCACTTATGTTAAGTAAGTCAGTTGGCAGACATCAAATGTTTCTTGGCCATGGATTCTTGTCCATAGGCAGGCATGTGATATATCCAGGACTTCCATTAATCTCATAGAATGTGGTGCCGATCTACACACTGCATGACCTGATGTCTGCCAACTGAATTCTGTGAATCCCCACGATAAGCATGACCATTCCTCACTGATGGACTGTACAAAAGCTATTGTTATCACATGGTTTTCAGCTATGAAACGGATATCAATTCCAGGGATTTACTGGACGTCAAGCCATATACTTATAAAACTTAGAAACGGTTGCAAAAAGACTACAGAATGCATCCATTGAGAAGCAGAAAATATACTGACACAATGAAAACCCATAATCAACTTTAACTTGAAGGACTAGAAAATGATTTTAGGAGTGAATATTTACTCACATGACAAAAACATATTAATTGTGTGACAAAATGAGATTGTGTTTGATTATAAAGTTGAACGTTTCGCAATATTTTCCCACTAGCACTTGTTTTAGTGTTAGTTTTAGTTTTAGCTCTTAAACTAACAGTCTCTGAGCATTCGTAAACATTTCTCTTGGGCCACCATTTTGAAACCCTGTACCCCCCAAATAAACTCATATCCACCACCAATATAACATGTTTGGTTGTGTGCAAGGCATTAGTTGACTGGACCTTTTTGTAAATGGCCTAATTGCAAGCACTAAAAAAGTTGTTGCCATGGAAATGCAAAAAATTAACTTTCCAAACTTTTCATTTTCAAATTTAGGTTCCTGAAATTAGAATGACCAAATAGAACTCAGAAATCTGTAAATTTTGTAAAATCAAAATTGTCATATATGCAAAGATGTACACCTTAACATACACTTATACACATACACATTTAAAAAATAATCCACATTCCTGACTACTAATACTATGTAGCATGTATAATTTTAGCTGGACTTATCCCATCACCCAACTTTGGACTTGTAATAGTACCTTTTCTGCTTGTCGCTCCAGGCCCTTCAACTTGCGGCTGGTTGTATTCTTGCCTGACAGCTGCTGTTCAACTTTCATTTTCTGGGACTCCACACTTCTCAGTTTGGATTCAGCCTGCTTGCTCTCCGACTGGTAAATGTGGTATGTCTTCATTGCCTAATTTGAAAAACAACTATGGTTTACTAAAGAAAAGTTTTCTAATCAGCCATGTATTTGTTCGTTTGTTGTTTAACACCGCACTCAGCAATATTCCAGTTATATGACAGCGGTCTATAAATAATCAAGTCTGGACAGACAATCCAGTGATTGACATCACGAGCATCGATCAATGCAATTGGGATACAATGACATACATCAACCAAGTCAGCGAGTCTGACCACCCGATCCCGTAAGTTGCCTCTTCCTACAAGCATAAGTTCACCATGTAAGCAAGAGGAGAATGAACTTACAAAAACTACATGTAAAAATTGTATTAAAACTTACCTTAGAGACGCTAACTCAGACATACCAGGGAAATAAATTCATCAAGCACAATACGAAAATACATATTTTATCTGCTATATCTGGCAGTAATGATTATCTTGTGTGACATATATAACACTTCGTTTGCCAATGCTAGCACTGAAACTGAAAAAGCTAACAAAGTTACAAAACCAGTTATTTCTAAGACTAACTCAATGTCACAGTTTCCCCATGTCAGCAGAAATTGAACACTGTGCACAGTATTGATCTGGCTGTGCTGGGGTTAGCCACCCACAGTCCACAGCCTGCCTCAATTACACTCAGTCTTAGCCAGCACTCACATGGCAGACAACACTTTCAGCTAAACATCTTCACAAAGACACTTCTAACAGTGAATTCTCTTGTAAATCTTTGGACTGGTTGCTATTGAAGGGAATAATTATTCAAACTAAATAAATTGTCAATTAAAATCACAAGATTTGTCACACAGAAGAAAATGACTTTTAATCTGAACTAAACTGTTCTTAAATTCAATTACTCATTACAAATATGCAAATAACTGATCTAAGACAAATGAGAAAATTGCATAAACACAACACATAGAGCAATTGTGCGTCTATAAAGTGTATGAATTGCATTTTGAAAACAGAACATGATCATATGAATTAAAGTACCATCCATACGTTTAAGCTTTACGAGGCCATTGTAATCCATGATAATGTCACCCATTACAATGCCAACCATTACAAGGCCAACAAGATAATTTCACCCATTACAAGGCCATCAAGATAATGTCACCCATTACAAGGCCATCAAGATAATGTCATCCATTACAATGTCACCCATTACAAGGCCATCAAGATAATGTCACCAATTACAATGTCATCAAGATAATGTCACCAATTACAATGTCATCAAGATAATGTCACCCATTACAATGCCACCCATTACAAGGCCATCAAGATAACGTCATCCATTCCAAGGCCATCAAGATAATGTTACCCATTACAATGCCACCCACTACAAGGCCATCAAGATGACGTCATCCATTACAAGGCCATCAAGATAATGTCACCCATTACAAGGCCAACAAGATAATGTAATCCATTACAAGGCCAACAAGATAATGTCACCCATTACAATGCCATCAAGATAATGTCACCCATTACAATGCCACCCATTACAAGGCCATCAAGATAATGTCACCCATTACAAGGCCATCAAGATAATGTCACCAATTACAATGTTATCAAGATAATGTCACCCATTACAATGTCATCAAGATAATGTCCCCAATTACAATGCAACCAATTACAAGGCCAAAAGATAATGTCACCCATTACAAGGTCATCAAGATAATGTCCCCAATTACAATGCAACCAATTACAAGGCCAAAAGATAATGTCACCCATTACAATGCCATCAAGATAATGTCACCCATTACAATGCCACCCATTACAAGGCCATCAAGATAATGTCACCCATTACAAGGCCATCAAGATAATGTCACCAATTACAATGTTATCAAGATAATGTCACCCATTACAATGTCATCAAGATAATGTCCCCAATTACAATGCAACCAATTACAAGGCCAAAAGATAATGTCACCCATTACAATGTTATCAAGATAATGTCACCCATTACAATGCCACCCACTACAAGGCCATCAAGATGATGTCATCCATTACAAGGCCATCAAGATAATGTCACCCATTACAATGCCACCCATTCCAAGGCCATCAAGATAATGTCCCCCATTACAATGCCATCAAGATAATGTCCCCCATTACAATGCTATCAAGATAATGTCCCCCATTACAAGGCCATCAAGATAATGTCCCCCATTACAAGGCCATCAAGATGATGTCCCCCATTACAAGGCCATCAAGATAATGTCCCCCATTACAAGGCCATCAAGATAATGTCCCCCATTACAAGGCCATCCAAAAAGTACAATCAGTAACATATTTGGATACATTACAAATTATGCATAGCTAAAGTCATGATCGTGACATGCCCTGCTAAGGATGAAGTGACATTATAATCAAGTTTAGCTTAATTTATTTCATAGAATGTATAAGAAATAATTGCTGACATGTGTGTTATGTCTTTAATAACTAGCCTCCTGAAGGTAGGGGTATCACCTGCTCCATTCAACACCTGCCCTTTTGCCCTCTTCTGATCACAGGTGGCATCATGGCCAGGCTCCATCTCCACGGAATTCAGCTGGTTTCACCGAGATACATAGTCGTAAACTCACAAACATTAATAAGAGTATTCCACTAAAACAACCAACACAGACATTGCAAGGAGTGACCTCTCATCTAGATGGCTGCTGGTTGAGTGTACATGGCCTTTGACTCACTACTGGGCACAGTGGAGCAAATAATGAAGGCATATTGGAGTTTAGTCTATGTGCATCATGAATGATCACATTGATTTTTATTTGTGATTTCCTACCCATCAGATCAGACAGACTTCTCGGCATCAACACATGACGAGGCACCAAGGATAATCACTCTCAAAGTGTGCTTGTTTGGATTTTTCTACATATTGATTCTTCCCCAAATAGAAGCATCTCATCATTACACTGCAAGGCTTGATTCTTCTGAATTCTGTATCAATCTTTATTTAAAGATTACCATCTCATTTGTTCATGGCATGAGAAGACAGGGAGTGGGCTCAAAACCAACCTTTTTTTCTTCCATTACAAACCATCCTCAAGTGGTTTACACCAACCTCCTACACCTTAGGACCTTACCATCACATAACATTTCAAATGTTCTCAGGGGTACACCTAGAAACTCAACTTCCCTCTTTAATGGGAGCCGTATACAACTCCATCAGCAATGAATCCTGTTTACCAATCATATACAACTCCATCAACAATGAATCCTGTTTACCAATCATATACAACTCCATCAGCAATGAATCCTGTTTATCAATCATATACAACTCCATCAGCAATGAATCCTGTTTACCAATCATATACAACTCCATCAGCAATGAATCCTGTTTACTAATCATATACAACTCCATCAGCAATGAATCCTGTTTACCAATCATATACAACTCCATCAGCAATGAATCCTGTTTACCAATCATATACAACTCCATCAACAATGAATCCTGTTTACCAATCATATACAACTCCATCAGCAATGAATCCTGTTTACCAATCAGATACAACTCCATCAGCAATGAATCCTGTTCACCACTCAGATACAACTCCATCAGCAATGAATCCTGTTTACCAATCATATACAACTCCATCAGCAATGAATCCTGTTTACGAATTGGATACAACTCCATCAGCAATGAATCCTGTTTACCAATCATATACAACTCCATCAGCAATGAATCCTGTTTACCAATCGGATACAACTCCATCAGCAATGAATCCTGTTTACTAATCAGATACAACTCCATCAGCAATGAATCCTGTTTACTAATCAGATACAACTGCACTGATTGGTAATATATCCTCTTCCGAGTGGCCAGTTATTTGTTGTGTTAGGTATGTGTGTGATACATGAGTGTTACTGGCCTATGACTGCTGTCAATACATGAGTGTTACTGGCCTATGACTGCTGTCAATACATGAGTGTTACTGGCCTATGACTGCTGTCAATACATGAGTGTTACTGGCCTATGACTGCCATCAATACATGAGTGTTACTGGCCTATGACTGCTGTCAATACATGAGCGTTACTGGCATATGACTGCTGTCAGTACATGAGTGTTACTGGCCTATGACTGCTGTCAATACATGAGTGTTACTGGCCTATGACTGCTGTCAATACACGAGGGTTACTGGCCTATGACTGCTGTCAATACATGAGTGTTACTGGCCTATGACTGCTGTCAATACATGAGTGTTACTGGCCTATGACTGCTGTCAATACATGAGCGTTACTGGCCTATGACTGCTGTCAATACATGAGTGTTACTGGCCTATGACTGCCATCAATACATGAGTGTTACTGGCCTATGACTGCTGTCAATACACGAGTGTTACTGGCCTATGACTGCTGTCAGTACTTACACTCTGCAGTTCATTGAGCACTTTGAGCATATCTTCATGTGATTCAGATCCAATTTCCCGACACTGCAACAAAAACATCTATCTCAGACATAATATTTGAGTAATATAACAACCAAACTAACAAACAGGTTTCTGTATTATCAGCTCATGGCATAACATTGTACAAATGACTGAAGTCTCAATAATTGACAAGGACCTTAAAGGGACAGCTAGGAGTTGCTGATATGAAGCCAAATATCCCTTGTGTACATTTGCAGGTTATATTATTAATAGTTGGTCAGACATGTTTAGGATAACAAGTAAGACATGTTGTTTTATCCAAGATTAGTTTTAATTATCTTGCACACTGACCAATCAGCTGACAAGCTGACCCTTGCAACGGACACATGATCAGATAGGACCCGGCGTCTCCGCACTACACCCACCCCTAGTCATTTGGGAAAAAACCTTGGGTAGGCATCGAGCGTAAAATCTAAATTGGGCGATTGCTGGTGGATTAAGAGGACAAACCTGACTACCTGTCGGGGGGGGGGGGGAATTCAGGTGAGTTGAGGTGAACATGTTTGAACGTTGGTAATTATAACTTCAAAAGTGAACTGTGTTCACATGTCATATGTATTGGTTGTAAAATGTTGACTACTTCATTCTGTCATTAGTTCTTTGTGGGGTGGAACTGTTGCCTTCACAAGATTGTTGGCAAGGCACATCCAACATCTTCGAGATGGTAAACTAATCCATGACAAGGAATAGAAATCCCATATGCAGGACAGAAGCAGCCCCCAAACAAGGAGTATGAAGATCTGAATCACAGTTCTATGAACTTAAAGATGCAATTGCAGAGATATTAACACCATCCACTATGCCCACACTGCAACCATTTGTTACATGTAAAATGAAAAAGTAAAATCTAATGCTATGTACATTTGTATCTGTACATTATCAACTGCCATCTTGCCTGCTATTTGTACATATAAATAATTATTTATTGTAATATGCTCTTGTACCACCTTTTGTGTTTTTTTTAGAATAAACTGATTCTGATAACTTTTTCAACACCAGTCAACCAGAAGCTTTTTACTGCTATCACACTGAGTTCCCCTAGACTCTGAGGTGATAGATGAAGCCTACATTTATCAAGGAAAATATCAGCTTCTAAAACATCTTTCCCACTACATGTCATACACCATTTGAAAGATCTAACCCAACTGTACATAAATATGAAAGTTAATGTTTATCACATTTTATATAATGCATTTATAACTTAATCAAGTTCATTCTTAAAAAAATAAATATAAGATAGCACATTCATAACGTCCAGATTAAGCACCAAGAAAGTGAAACTTATGGCAATTTTCGGCAATTGTAAGATTTCATAATATCCACTTACCTATTTCTTTTTTAATGTCATTGTTCAAGTGATCGGAAAATGATGACAAAATTAATTTATGTACTATCTATCATCACTTATTTTCTGATAATAGTGGCTTTTCACACAGTAATATCAGAAAATACCAGGAAATACCTCCATTTTCAAAGCTTTGTTTGAATAACACGTGCCAAGATTCGTACAATACTTGGTATCGTTAGAAAGCTCTGAACATCACTAATAACACAGTAACCTTGCCAGGAGTACTTTCATGGTTCTAACATGTGATTTTATTGGATATAGCAATTGGTATCTAATTACGCTTTTTTGCTGTAATTTTCTATAAGGACCATCAATGGTCACATTCAAGCATTTGATATAAGGCAGCCATTCAAATTACAGTAATGGATACCACCCTGGTGTATGACATTTTATACATTTAGACAAAAGACTTTGGTTGAATCATATTATTCTGAACATTTTAAGCAGGAAATTCGATCAATGTTTAACTCTTTCAACACCAGTCAACCAGAAGTGTTTACTGCTGGGACACCGAGTTCCCAGAGACTCTTGTGTGATAGATGAAGCCAACATTTATCAAAGAAAATACCTGCTTGTAAAATATATTTGCTACTACATGTTATACACCATTTGAAAGGTCTGATCCTATGGTTTATAAATATGAAAGTTATATTTTTCAAATTATTTAAAATAATGCATTTACAACTTAATTAAATTCGTTGTAAATAAAAAATGTATGCTAACACGTTGTTAACATCCAGATTAAGGACCAAGGAAGCGAAAACTTGACGATTTTCGGCAAATATATGATTTTATAATATCCACGTACCTATTACTGTTTTATTTTCATTGTTTACGTAATTGGAAAATCATTTTAAAAAGAATTATAAATAGTTTCTGTCATCACCCATTTCCCGATAACAGCGACTGTCCGCTCAGTAAAATGAAGAAATACCCCCGTTTTCGAGGTTTCGTATGAAAAACACGTTCGTTGTAGAATGGCATATGACACATCGCTGGAAAGCTTATTCCTTCATCTACACGCTCGTAACATCGACTGGTTTTTTTTCGTAGTTATAACAAGCGATTTCATTGGATTAAAATTGGTTTCTAATGACGCTTTCTTGCTGAAATCTGCTACAAGTTTCGTGATTGGTCAATTTTGAGCACGTGACCTAAGGCAGCCAATCAAATTACAGCTGTGATACCAAGCTCGTGTGCCATAAATTACAGAAGTTTGCGAAAGAATTTTGTTAAATCGTGTTATTCTGAACGTTTTGAGCAGGAAATCACGATATATATTAAAAATATGGAACTTCGTGAATGTATCGTGCTAGGTTACGAGCTGTGACAAAGATTTTTCATGCATATATTTTTGCATTAAACATCGTGTCCGAGCCGAGAATTCAAGGCGACGAAAGCCGAGATGTCATTTGACTTACATTACACGCGATCGCACGAAAAGATGGAAATAATAACTTAGATGTAAGTTTGATTACTTTAAGATATATTTTTGTTGATTTTATTTATTACTTTGTATAATATATATAAAGATTTGTTTAAAACGTCTTTATTTTCCTCTTTGACGTGTTCGATGTGGACCCGTTGTCGAAATGTGTGTCCGAGAATTTTATTTTCAATAACATCGCGAGAAACAGTGAATAATTTTTTAATTTAACGATAAAAAATGTTAAATTGAAATGGAATATGTATTTCAGACATTGTGAAATGTGATAGATTTAATAAATGAATGACATTACAGGTAGGTCCATAAAAATATATACTATTTTGACGTGACTACGGCTTGGCCGGATAACCGGCCTGCGGGGAATGGGGACTCGATGCTTCTTGGCCGGATAACCGGCCTACGGTGTTGAAAGAGTTAAAATATGGAACTTTGAGGATATATTGTGCTTGGCTATGAGCTGTGGCAAAGATTTCTCATTCATATATATTTTGGTGTTAAACATTGTGTCTGAGTCTAAAAATGGAAGAGACAAATGCTGAGATGTCATCCGATTTACATTACACGATCTCACTTTAACATGTTTGATATGGATTTGTGGAAGCATGTGTATATACTGGACAACAAGAAGCAAAGTAGTCCTTAGTCACATGTACTATACATGGGTCCAGAGACAATCAGTGCTCACCTTCTTGAATATCCTCTGTGAATTTTCGATGGTTTCGTTGAGCCTGTTCATGACAGCGTTGCTGTACAGCTCGCTGATAGTGTTGTGGTCCTGGCTCTCCTTGCGAGTGATGCCCAACAGATGCTTCCAACATGCAAATGTTGAAAATGTAGCCCATTGTTCTTGACGACTGAAGAATTAAACAGAGTTACATAAGAAACTATCAAGATAACCATGTTCACTAACAAGTTGTAAATACAAACACTATCCCATTAGCCCAAGGCTAGTAAATTTTTGTAAGGACAAGCAAAAGCAAACAAATGGTTGACCCTAACAATCCAGCAAGTCCAGATGCCGGAAACATGTACATATGTACCGTGCAAGACCCTAAACACTTTGATCTCAAGGATATTTCAAAGAGTTTTTGTTTTATGCTGAAAAATTGTTTGATCAAGGCAACATATCGTCAGAAGCACTGACAACCCCTATTCCTGTATTCCCACTTAATATGGGAAAAAACCCACAAACCTGACAATTGAAAGCCCCTGTAATAAATTTGGTTGAGTACGAGGGTGTACATAAACAGGTGTTCCATGGACATTTATGCCAATCAGTGTTGCTTGTCTACAATCAGAATGTACTCCAACCTAGTTGGCCTTTCTTCTCAGAACCACTGTTTAAAGTCACAAATGTACAGCATTCAGAAGGAGCCTGCTCCCTCCTGTCCAGCTCTACATACAGCCATCGAGACAGCATGGTTCATTACCATCATCTGGCTACCATGTCTAGCTGCCTGTCAAAGAGCTAGTACACAGTCCATGTGTCTCTGTTGATGCTGTGACAACACGCATGCCATCATCCTGTATTCCTAAAATTACAGCATGCATGTTGCATAGCTAGGGGCCAACACTTATTCAGAACTCATATCATTACGAAAGATGACGAATACTTTCCTGAATTTCACTTGTAACTACCTAATTATGACCAAGATTGATTTTCAAACAAATCTGTATGCTGTGCAGGACTTGAAGTCTTTAAGTACATGTCAGAGAAGTGTTGTAAGGGGAGAAGTACATTACCTTGACTAAATGACTGGACAGTGTTGTAAGGGGAATAGTACATTACTTTGACTAGATAACTGGGCAGTGTTTTAAGGGGAATATAATAGTACATTACTTTGACTAAATGACTGGACAGTGTTTTAAGGGGGATAGTACATTACTTTGACTAAATGACTTGACAGTGTTGTAAGGGGAATAGTACATTACCTTGACTAGATGACAGGGCAGTGTTGTAAGGGGAATAGTACATTACCTTGACTAGATGACAGGGCAGTGTTGTAAAGGGAATAGTACATTACCTTGACTAAATGACTGGACAGTCTTTAGGGGAATAGTACATTACCTGGTACTAGATGACAGGGCAGTGTTGTAAGGGGAATAGTACATTACCTGGTACTAGATGACAGGGCAGTGTTGTAAGGGGAATAGTACATTACCTTGACTAAATGACTGGACAGTGTTGTAAGGGGAATAGTACATTACCTTGACTAGATGACAGGGCAGTGTTGTAAGGGGAATAGTACATTACCTTGACTAAATGACTGGACAGTGTTGTAAGGGGAATAGTACATTACCTTGGCTAGATGACAGGGCAGTGTTGTAAGGGGAATAGTACACCGCTTATGACTTGAGTCAGTTATATGAGTGGAACAGAAGCTAATCTGACTAGGATGTATGTCTTACCATCACTGTTGTAGGGGGAATGTCCATCTCACAAACAGTATCTGTGGAGGTCGTTAAACCTAAACTACAAGTCTGCTATTAAACTACAAACTGTTATCTACAAACAGTATCGGGTCATTTCCGGCATCAAGGTGATTGCAAAACAACATGGTAGGAAGAGTTCCACCAACAATATATCAAAGACTGTGGGGATCTGATCGTGAGCTGCCACTCCTATAATAGGGGGCAACTGATAGGCTGCTTATCTTCCAAGCCCTGCACCTCTCATGTTGACAGTTTGAGGAACTTACAACATGCATGTGGATCCTTGATCCTCCTAGCAACACCAGGGAAATCAAACCCTCAAACCCCGCACCTCACCACTGGAAATTGTGCACCCCCTAGGGAACTTATCCTTCCCCCAGCATGACAAACATTATCTCTCCTGGCACACCAAAAATGGAAATCTTATATCATCAATGCTAATCTCTCCCCTCACGTTCCCCCTGCAACTAGGATCTGACCCCACCACCTTCTCCATATACTTGCTCCTCATCCTGACTCAGATCAGGGCATTTATCGTCAGAGTGAGTGAGTGAATTGGGTTTAATGCCGCTTTTAACAGTATTCCAGTTATATTGCGGCGTGTCAGTTAAATGTGGGAGGAAAGCCCGAAGTGATGCAGGTCTCAGACGTTTACCACTTCGGTGACACCCAAGAGCACGGGTTCTGGTGCTATCTTCAGAGAGTTCACACCAAAGATGATACAAAGTTCAAGCTAAACTGCTGATATGCAGGTCACTTCAAGTCTTGCAAAGTTCAACAGCAACAAATTAGGAAATATGAGAACCACCTGCCCACCAGTAGCGGTTAGTTTCTGCTGGGGCTGCTTTGTGTGAGTGTGACACTGTCTGGGACCTGCCCACCAGTAGCGGTTAGTTTCTGCTGGGGCTGCTGTGTGTGGGTGTGACACTGTCTGGGACCTGCCCACCAGTAGAGGCTAGTTTCTTCTGGGGCTGCTGTGTGTGGGTGTGATACTGTCTGGGACCTGCCCACCAGTAGAGGCTAGTTTCTGCTGGGGCTGCTGTGTGTGGGTGTGACACTGTCTGGGACCTGCCCACCAGTAGAGGCTAGTTTCTTCTGGGGCTGCTGTGTGTGGGTGTGATACTGTCTGGGACCTGCCCACCAGTAGAGGCTAGTTTCTGCTGGGGCTGCTGTGTGTGGGTGTGACACTGTCTGGGACCTGCCCACCAGTAGAGGCTAGTTTCTGCTGGGGCTGCTGTGTGTGGGTGTGACACTGTCTGGGACCTGCCCACCAGTAGAGGCTAGTTTCTGCTGGGGCTGCTGGGGCTGCTGGGGCTGCTGTGTATGTGTGTGACACTGTCTAGGACCTGCCCACCAGGAGAGGCTAGTTTCTGCTGGGGCTGCTGTGTGTGTGTGTGACACTGTCTGGGACCTGCCCACCAGTAGAGGCTAGTTTCTGCTGGGGCTGCTGTGTATGTGTGTGACACTGTCTGGGACCTGCCCACCAGTAGAGGCTAGTTTCTGCTGGGGCTGCTGTGTGTGGGTGTGACACTGTCTGGGGCCTGACAACCACTGGAGGCTAGTTTCTGCTGGGGCTGCTGTGTGTGGGTGTGACACTGTCTGGGACCTGCCCACCAATAGAGCCTAGTTTCTGCTGGTGCTGGTGTGTGTGGGTGTGACACTGTCTGGGACCTGCCCACCACTGGAGGCTAGTTTCTGCTGGGGCTGCTGTGTGTGGGTGTGACACTGTCTGGGACCTGCCCACCAGTAGCAGTTAGTTTCTGCTGGGGCTGCTGTGTGTGAGTGTGACACTGTCTTGGAGCTGCCCACCAGTAGAGGCTAGTATCTGCTGGGGCTGCTGTGTCTGTGTGTGATACCGTCTGGGACCTGCCCACCACTGGAGGCTAGTTTCTGCTGGGGCTGCTGTGTGTGGGTGTGACACTGTCTGGGACCTGCCCACCAATAGAGCCTAGTTTCTGCTGGGGCTGCTGTGTGTGGGTGTGACACTGTCTTGGACCTGCCCACCAGTAGAGGCTAGTTTCTTCTGGGGCTGCTGTGTCTGTGTGTGACACTGTCTTGGACCTGCCCACCACTGGAGGCTAGTTTCTGCTGGGGCTGCTTTGTGTGGGTGTGACACTGTCTGGGACCTGCCCACTAGTAGAGGCTAGTTTCTGCTGGGGCTGCTGTGTGGGTGTGACACTGTCTGGGACCTGCCCACCAGTAGCAGTTAGTTTCTGCTGGGGCTGCTGTGTGTGAGTGTGACACTGTCTGGGACCTGCCCACCAGTACAGGCTAGTTTCTGCTGGGGCTGCTTTGTGTGGGTGTGACACTGTCTTGGACCTGCCCACCAGTAGAGGCTAGTATCTGCTGGGGCTGCTGTGTCTGTGTGTGACACTGTCTGGGACCTGCCCACCACTGGAGGCTAGTTTCTGCTGGGGCTGCTTTGTGTGGGTGTGACACTGTCTGGGACCTGCCCACTAGTAGAGGCTAGTTTCTGCTGGGGCTGCTGTGTGGGTGTGACACTGTCTGGGACCTGCCCACCAGTAGCAGTTAGTTTCTGCTGGGGCTGCTGTGTGTGAGTGTGACACTGTCTGGGACCTGCCCACCAGTACAGGCTAGTTTCTGCTGGGGCTGCTTTGTGTGGGTGTGACACTGTCTTGGACCTGCCCACCACTGGAGGCTAGTTTCTGCTGGGGCTGCTGTGTGTGGGTGTGACACTGTCTGGGACCTGCCCACCAGTAGAGGCTAGTTTCTGCTGGGGCTGCTGTGTGTGGGTGTGACACTGTCTGGGACCTGCCCACCAGTAGAGGCTAGTTTCTGCTGGGGCTGCTTTGTGTGGGTGTGACACTGTCTTGGACCTGCCCACCACTGGAGGCTAGTTTCTGCTGGGGCTGCTTTGTGTGGGTGTGACACTGTCTGGGACCTGCCCACCAGTAGAGGCTAGTTTCTGCTGGGGCTGCTGTGTGTGGGTGTGACACTGTCTGGGACCTGCCCACCAGTAGAGGCTAGTTTCTGCTGGGGCTGCTTTGTGTGGGTGTGACACTGTCTGGGACCTGCCCACCAGTAGAGGCTAGTTTCTGCTGGGGCTGCTTTGTGTGGGTGTGACACTGTCTTGGACCTGCCCACCAGTAGAGGTTAATTTCTGCTGGGGCTGCTGTGTGTGGGTGTGACACAGTCTGGGACCTGCCCATCACTGGAGGCTAGTTTCTGCTGGGGCTGCTTTGTGTGGGTGTGACACTGTCTGGGACCTCCGCCTCCTCAGTCTAACAGGTGAGAGCCTGATAAGATTAGCTTGGGATACCACACACCACTGCCTCTCAATGAGATCTTACACTCATTACCCCGGCCAAAGCGACAATCTCTGTAATGCCATCATTCTCCACTTCAGTGATTTTGTAATGTTCCCATTTAACACTTGGTCTGAATAATATCTGTGGGTCTCTGATACCTGGATGACCGACAGTCAAAACAGATGGTACCAAATGTAACCTCACTTTCAAAGTATTTCAACATGTGGACATTGAAAACCAGAAGCAGGAGAGAGATGATGAAACCGGCTAGATGTAAAACATTCCCATTACTGCTGTTGGGGTACACCTTCACACCAGCCCAGCCAAGTCCTGCTTTAGTCTCAGTCCCTTCAGATTGTGCCTAATATCTGGCCAATTTCCTGTAGTAACTTATCAACAACTCAGCTACATTTGCCCAGATAAGATTCTGGAACCCTAAAACTGTAACCCATCTGGCACTGTTCTCATTAGCGATATGATATCAACAGCCAATTCAGACCACCAGGACCAAATGCAATAAAGACAAATGACAGGACTTCAGCACTAGTATCACTCCATACTCTGAGGTTTAAGCCAAGTGTAAATGTTTAATGTGCTGTTGACAAAACCAATCTACAGGACTGAATGACTGGAGAGGAGAACATGGGATCAATGGGTTGTCTGAGGAGGAAGGTCAAATCACTGGAGCACTGGCTGCCTCCCAAGACCATACCTTACACTCTATCTCAGTCTTTTCCAAATTTTTATGTAGTAAGTGAGTGAGTGAAGATGGTTTTATGCCATTTTGAGCAACATTCCAGCAATATCTGGCACACCAGATATCCAACAATAGTTATCATTCTGAGAATACTACCTCTATTACATCAGGAATTAGTCCCTCCCACCTCCCCAGTATATCTGCATCTGGTTGATGAAGGTTATGCGTTGAAAGTAATATGTTTTCCCACCACTCGCATGTGCAGTTGCTTTTTCTGTGGAGGATAGGGTTTTCCTCACAACTATTAGATATGTTGGCAGTGAAGAGGACATCTGTTGAAAATCACACAGATTGTATAGTGTTATTGACAGCCAAAACAGGAATTTATGCTATGATGTAGTAGTGAAGGAATCATGGGCTTCACGCATTGTACCCATGTGGGGAACTGAACCCGGGCTTCAGTGTGATCAGCAAACGCTTTATACATTCACTACGTGACTCCACTGCCAAACTCGGCACATAGATGAGACACACCAGTAGTTCACACATGATCTGTCTTGGAACAAACCCCTTAGCTTCCTTGACTATCATAGAAAGTTGCATCAAGTAAGAGTCATAATGATCAAAGACATCGAAAGAAAATGTATGGTTTCTTGTGCCTTCATCAAGTAATCAATATGCTTGTAAAAGCTTTAAGAAACTATATTGTATCTATCAGCCTAGCATAAACAGTAAGAGCCCATAGTACGGGATTTCCATCTATGATGAACCTGAGACATGGATCTCAGATACTTACTTTTGTTTCTCAGCTCGATGTCGTGTAATCATCTGACGCACAAGTTTATCCAGGTTCTTCGAATATTCCATTTCTACCTCCGCTCGTCGCTTGAAGAACTCCTGAAGTTCTGCAACAATGGCGACCTGGATCTCCAGCTTGTTCTCGAGACATTTTAGTTGGTCACCGAGCTGGGCACGGATATCTGAAAACAATAACCAGTTTGTGATATATTTGTCAAAGGTGATGGATTTTTAAAAACATTGCACCCATTTCAAAAAGGACGTGATGACAATACCACCTCATCTAAACCCCAACAAAATGGTAATCACATGGCCAGAGACCAACTCACCCAACACCTCTTCAATCAATGATCTGATATTTCTGTGTTTCGCATCAATGCAACATATGTAGCCTACACAGCCATAAGCTGAGACATGCCTGATTAAAGTTGCAAGAAAACACATATGTATATGTGTAAGAGCTGCCTAACAACTAGTGAAATTGCAGCATTATGGGGATACAAGCTTACAGACCACAAATGGAATACATGGAATGGCTGCCAATCAACCAATAGCAGTTGTGTCCCTCAGAATGCAGGGATCTGCTGATCGGGGGCTGGAATCCAATTGCTATGTCCCTATTCATCTTACTGAGACTTTATACCGGGATTCAAACCCACAATCAAAGGTTTCTTATGTGCCCAAGGGATTCCCCTCTGCACAGCAAATTGTGGTGCTGTAGACGATTGGGCCACCCATACCCCTCCTGCACATAGATGATAGAACTTAGTGTGGATAAGCCCCACTTTATTCACACAGCATTTAATTATCATCTGATTAACAAGTCCAGCCTAAGCAATGACAAAACATCAAAGAAAGGGAGATAATTAAATGCTGGCTACGTGTTATATTGGCGTGATATATTGTGACCAGACACCAGGGAGGACAGACATTAAACATGTGTGTAAAGACTTCACAAGCCATGTGCACCAACAGGAGGTAGTTATCTGAAACAGTTCCCTGTTTGACATGACACAAATGGGCCTATAGTGCCCAGGCCCTTGGAAAAAACAATGGCTACATAATGAATTTCCTTCTACTATTACCAAGTGTTTTTTCTCGAACCTACAGACAACAAAAAACAGGATTCATTTCCTCTGGAGTAAATTAATGCCATTTCTGTGAGAAAACTCTTCTCTTTATACATAGCAGTATACCCGAGTTGTTAAACTGTGGCCAATAACATCTACTCAGGAGACAGGCTGTGTATATTTACGTAGCAGCCACAGTTGAGTCATGTTCTCTATTCAATACCTGTGTAGGCCAATGGTCCAAGGTACAACTGATGGTCCTCCGAAGACTGTCAAGCAATTCACTGCATCATACACAAACATGTATTTCTTATTAAAGTCTGGCCTTGGTTTGGCGTTAGAATATTACCAACAATTGCTGAATGCAATTGCAGTCCTGTTCATAAGCCGACTTCAAACATGATACAAATTCAAAAATGATAAATCTGCGCACTCCCTTTCCCAAATATACCCAGAATCCAACTTACACAAAAGTAACTTAATTTTCGATGCCCAATTACATTTACCATTGACAGCTTCAGGATACAGTACAACATAACTTGTCTTAGGGTAGGAAGATCCTGGCGATACAGAACAACATAACTTGTCTTAGGGTAGGAAGATCCTGGCGATACAGTACAACATAACTTGTCTTAGGGTAGGAAGATTCTGGCGATACAATACAACATGACTTATCTTAGGGTAGGAAGATCCTTTCAATACAGTACAACATGACTTGTCTTAGGATAGGAAGATCCTGGTGATACAGTACAACATAACTTGTCTTAGGGTAGGAAGATCCTGGCGATACAGTACAACATAACTTGTCTTAGGGTAGGAAGATCCTGGCGATACAGTACAACATGACTTGTCTTAGGGTAGGAAGATCCTCGCAATACAGTACAACATAACTTGTCTTAGGGTAGGAAGATTCTGGCGATACAGTACAACATAACTTGTCTTAGGGTAGGAAGATCCTGGCGATACAGTACAACATAACTTGTCTTAGGGTAGGAAGATTCTGGCGATACAGTACAACATAACTTGTTTTAGGGTAGGAAGATTCTGGCGATACAGTACAACATAACTTGTCTTAGGGTAGGAAGATTCTGTCGATACAGTACAACATAACTTGTCTTAGGGTAGGAAGATTCTGGCGACACAGTACAACATAACTTGTCTTAGGGTAGGAAGATCCTCGCAATACAGTACAACATAACTTGTCTTAGGGTAGGAAGATTCTGGTGATACAATACAACATAACTTGTCTTAGGGTAGGAAGATTCTGGCGACACAGTACAACATAATTTGTCTTAGGGTAGGAAGATTCTGGTGATACAGTACAACATAACTTGTCTTAGGGTAGGAAGATCCTGGCGATACAGTACAACATAACTTGTCTTAGGGTAGGAAGATTCTGGCGATACAGTACAACATAACTTGTCTTAGGGTAGGAAGATCCTGGCAATACAGTACAACATAACTTGTCTTAGGGTAGGAAGATCCTGGCGATACAGTACAACATAACTTGTCTTAGGGTAGGAAGATCCTGGCGATACAGTACAACATAACTTGTCTTAGGGTAGGAAGATCCTGGCGATACAGTACAAACAAAACTTGTCTTAGGGTAGGAAGATCCTGGCGATACAGTACAACATAACTTGTCTTAGGGTAGGAAGATCCTGGCGATACAGTACAACATAACTTGTCTTAGGGTAGGAAGATCCTGGCGATACAGTACAACATAACTTGTCTTAGGGTAGGAAGATCCTGGCGATACAGTACAACATAACTTGTCTTAGGGTAGGAAGATTCTGGCGATACAGTACAACATAACTTGTCTTAGGGTAGGAAGATCCTGGCGATACAGTACAACATAACTTGTCTTAGGGTAGGAAGATCCTGGCGATACAGTACAACATAACTTGTCTTAGGGTAGGAAGATCCTGGCGATACAGTACAAACAAAACTTGTCTTAGGGTAGGAAGATCCTGGCGATACAGTACAACATAACTTGTCTTAGGGTAGGAAGATCCTGGCGATGCAGTACAACATAACTTGTCTTAGGGTAGGAAGATCCTGGCGATACAGTACAACATAACTTGTCTTAGGGTAGGAAGATCCTGGCAATACAGTACAACATAACTTGTCTTAGGGTAGGAAGATTCTGGCATACTTACACTCTTGCAGCAATACAAAATACAGTTATAAATACTGAGCCATACATTGGATATCTTGCACATTCACCACTGACAGTAGTTTGACATGGAAGACTTTAGCCTCAAAAACTGCATACATGCAAATAAATGGACAGATTCAATTTTTTTGTAAATATTGAATAAAACGTTTGGGCTCTACATAATAAAATTGGGGTAACTTTAGTATCAAATACACAACATAATGATATGGTTTCAAATTTCTCAGTGACTTGAACAAAGCCTTTCATGCTTGTAGCAATACATTTGACACATGTTTACTTCAAGTTAGATTTTGTTGTTGTAAATCTAACCCCAAAAGTATTTATAAGATGACACAAGGAAGGATCAAGAACCATTTTCATATATGACCCAAAATAAGTAAAGGATCACCCCATTCTTTCATATCACAGACATGGTGGTCCTTAACTTGTTCTGAGTAGTATATTTTGACAAAATTTCACCAATTTTTAACACAACGATTTTTGTTTCATCAAGGTTTACACTTAGTGCATACCTCCCATAATATATCATAAGAAAGTGAACATGCTTTTGGTGACCAGTGTCAAGTGTCAGTAACAAGGGGCATCACGGTCCTTGGAAAAGAACAAGAGAAAAACTTCTGGATGGAATTGAATTCCTGGAGAGAACAACCAACCAGATTTGCTCTACTTTGCTAAATCATTTATGAACATACTGAATAAAAACCTACTCAGAATACATCCCTGCCTAAGTCCATGGTAACATTCAAAACTGTCTGAAAAGTGTTAATCATATTTAATGCATGAAGATTATCCTTGAAAATATATGCTTTGTTGTCATCCCAAGCATAAAAATTACTGTCACAAGGTGCAAAGTTTCTTATCAACACAATGATATCCACCTGACAAGTCTTCCAAAAACTGAAATACTATTGCTATGGAACACATACGATTTGAAGAGTACAAAACGTATGCTAGTCTTGTTTTTGTCACTATGTCTCACTGAGGCTATAGACAACAATAGATTCATGAATGCAATGACATCCAAATCAGCAAGTCCTGAAAGATTCCAAACTATGAAGCTCAGTGTGTGACTCCATAGTCAGTTTTCACTGTAGTTATGTGATGTATTGCTCATAATGATAGGCGTCATACAGTTATGTCAGCTGTCCGTCTAGATGTATCACACTGCTTCAGCGATCCTTCTTAGGCATGATGCGCAGTGGGGTAGCACTCTGGTTAAAGCGTGTGTTCACCATGCCCACGTCTGGTGTTCCTTCATGTCATATCACTGGAATAATGCTCAAAGAGGCATAACACCTCACTCACTGTTCAGCATTACTGAAACTCTAGGTACATATCAGGGACAATACTAGTCCCAGTATTCACAGAATTGGCCATGTAAAACTTGGGAAAAAAAGTTACATTATTATGTTACATTTGCGAAAATAATTTCTCAAATAAATAGTTTGAACTCAATGAGTAAATATGCTACTATGTATTAGTATGTCTTTTCCACAATATATTGGAAATATTACATTATCCATGTCCATGGGCTGCAATTTCTAAAAATGGGAAAAAATCTGCAGAAATAATTCAGAACTACTGTTTCACAGAAAAAAATGTCTTACTGTTATTGCAATAAACAATCAATAAATATCGTAAAAATAATAGCATTGAATAGTATATCAACTCAAAGGGTAGAAAGACTACATCAACAAACATTAAAGTTTGCATTCAAACTTAATATATATACTTGCAATTCCCTTTAAGTCTATTGAAATTTAGAATCATCTTCAAATGATACAATTTATTATCTGATCCACAAACAAATTTTTTAAACTTACATCAACAGAAAGAGCATGTTCACATGTAAACCAGTGTGAATTGTGATCAACTGCATCTACTGAGAAAGGACAGTGTCTTCTATTGTTAAAAGCTGAGAGCGTCTGCTGCT